GGGGGTGGCTGTCAGTCAGTCAGTGCGGTAGGTGCCGGTAGGTGTCAGTCAGTCTCGGTGTAGTCGGTCGGTAGGTGCCCCCCGCTCCCCCTCCGGTTACCTCCCGCAGCGCGGCCCCCGCCAGTCCCCCCGGGCCGGTAACCGAGCTCAGGCTCCGGCTGCCCCGCGCTGTCCGAGGCCCCAGGAACCGCAAGAGCCGCCCTGACCTCCCGCACGCAGGACCCATCGCAGCCGCCATGTTGGATGGAATGTCTGACCTGACAGCCAATCACAGCTGGGTATCCATCCAACCAATAAGAACCTTCTACAATGCAGCCAATCAGAGCGCCGAACGGAGACCACGTGTCCGAGCGCTATACACCCGAGCACAAGCTCACTGAGAATAATGTCGCTAGTGAAGGACATTCGTCCATTGAGAGCTCTCACCTTATAATGTCCTACCGCCGCCTCATAGTAAATAGCGAAGCTGGGGAATAGGAGATCCGCCTCTCTCCGGGTTATAACCCAAAAATACAGATCATAAAATATCACTGGAGATCGTTAGCTCATTAACAATCCCAGAGCTCCACAACAGTAACATGCAGGGCAGTGTCCCAGAGCTCCGCAGCAATGCAACTCTCAACATTGTGCATTGTACCTGAGCTCCGCAGCAATGCAACTCTCAACATTGTGCATTGTACCTGAGCTCCGCAGCAATGCAACTCTCAGCAATGCGCATTTATCCCACAGCAATGCAACGCTCAGCAATGCGCATTATCCCGCAGCAATGCAACTCTCAGCAATGCGCATTATACCACAACGCCGCAGCAATGCAACTCTCAGCAATGTGCATTATACCACAACGCCGCAGCAATGCAACTCTCAGCAATGTGCATTATACCACAACGCCGCAGCAATGCAACTCTCAGCAATGTGCATTATCCCGCAGCAATGAAACTCTCAGCAATGTGCATTATCCCACAACGCCGCAGCAATGCAACTCTCAGCAATGTGCATTATCCTGCAGCAGTGCAACTCTCAGCAATGTGCATTATACCACAACGCCGCAGCAATGCAACTCTCAGCAATGTGCATTATCCTGCAGCAGTGCAACTCTCAGCAATGTGCATTATACCACAACACCGCAGCAATGCAACTCTCAGCAATGTGCATTATACCAGAGCTCTGCAGCAATGCAACTCTCCGCAATGTGCATTACACCAGAACTCTGCAGCAATGCAACTCTCAGCAATGTGCATTATCCCACAGCTCCACAACTCTCAGTAATGTGCATGATCCCACAATGTGGTGTGTATCCCAGAGCTCTGCAGAAATGCAACTCAGTAATGTGTATCCCAGAGCTCCACTGTTAAACCTCTGTTACGTGCAGTGTGTACTATCCCAGAGCTCTGCAGCAATAAAACAGTAATGTAGATGCTTTATGATTTATCACAGAGCACCAAAAAAAAACAATTCTTACTGTTGCCCAACTTAACTAATTTTATTGACCCATCAAGGATCCTTGTAAGAGCATCAGACAAGTGGTTCCAAGACGCTGACGGTATCACTGAGCTCTTATCTAATTCACTTAATCCAAACCATCATTGATCCACATTTAATCTGACAACCAGAAGAATTTAATATTTAGATGCTGGACGCTGGTAACGCATGTCAGAAATGTGAACAAAAAAGGCTGTAGTGTTTGAGGATTGAAACCTATAAAAGCAATGTAGCTTTAGGCCAGAACACATCCACGCTCAGTCATATCACGTAGTACCACAGTTAGGATTTTAATAATGTAAATGTGCCCTTTTGAGCCATGTTACCTTAAAATTCCATGATGTCAACCATTTCTTTCACTATTCACAGATTGTTACAAAGAGTGGACTGAAGCCCCTTTTTGAGAAAATAACCAAAGCCAAATTTTGTCTTGTTTATTGAGAGCACCATATAAATATCACACATGGAATTTATAACAGAATACACAGCCTCTGTTTCAGCAAAAACAAGCGCAAATAATGTTTTAAAAAAAAAAAAAAAAAAATAATATTCCAGGTCTGCTGCAGATGAGTGGAGAATGAAAACAAACACTCAAAGCTTCCTTGATAAAATCTGAGTGCGGACTGCCATTGGTGTGACTGTGCACAGGACGCAAGACATGGCAGAAGCCGGCCAGATGCACAGTAGCTGCATAGAATCCTTTATTTGGGGAGATATTACAAAATGCATGGTGTAGGGTGTGATTATCACTATACAAACACACTGACTAGTCACACCTGGTCTTATGTGTTTTAAACCCCAATACCAATATACAGCTACCCCAGCACTGCTCCCACCCAAGCTCAGGACTCCAATTTGCCCAAAAAGTGAAGGTTGAGGATTTTTATATTATTATCCAGATCCATGCGGACAATACCATCTTCGTTATCAATACTGAGCAGGACGCCCATCGCTTCACGATCCTCCCCTAAAATCACCTTTACCTACAGCAAAGAGAAAGATGGGTGTCAATGTAAGGAACAGTGACAGGGATCAAGCAATCCTATTATGTGCTCACTAAGATGCATTACCCGGCTATTCTTTGTTGGGGTGACTGGCTCCAGGTGATCTCCAGAGATACTGATCACTTTTTCACTGTCCTGCAGCAGCACAGAACATAAACCACCCTGAAAGAGAGCAAAGAGGTAAGTTATAATTCCAGTACCAGGGGATGGGGCAGCCCAACGACCTGTAATAGAATGCAGAGGGGAGATTTCAGTGTTAGGGGATGGGGCAGCCCAACGATCTGAAATAGAATGCAGAGGGGAGATTTCAGTGTTAGGGGATGGGACAGCCCAACGATCTGTAATAGAATGCAGAGGGGAGATTTCAGTGTTAGGGGATGGGACAGCCCAACGATCTGTAATAGAATGCAGAGGGGAGATTTCAGAGTTAGGGGATGGGACAGCCCAACGATCTGTAATAGAATGCAGAGGGGAGATTTCAGTGTTAGGGGATGGGACAGCCCAACGATCTGTAATAGAATGCAGAGGGGAGATTTCAGTGTTAGGGGATGGGACAGCCTGACCTGTAAGATTTCTGTATTAGATGCCTGGAAAAGCCAAGCGTGAAAGGCAATGGGAGAGGTGATACAATCTGCCACCAGTGCAGGGAGATGAGACAGCAGCCATTATGGGAGGGAAGCACATTTTAGGATGTTAGGTGGCCTAAGGTGCATTGTGCGGCTATTCATTCCAAAGCATTGGAGCTCTGGAGAAGATTTACACAAACATTGTGGGGCACTAGGTTTGTGACTCCTCGGTTTCTTCATGCTAATCTAAAGTTTAGATTATTCCAAAGGCTCTAACTCACCGTGACACTGCGGATGATTCCAGTCTGTCCAACGACCTGGCTGTCCTGGTAAGTGTCTCTCACTTTAACTTGAATATCAGTGGTCACCCAGTCACTCGAGATCTGTTCTATGGAGGAGCCAGGCGTGTGCGGGTTGTATCCACCCGGAGATGGGGCACCAGGGGTCATCGGACTGTAACCCATAGGGCTGGGACTAGGGCTGGCCTTTATAGAAACAGACATTATTAGCATATGTAATAAATCACTCCTAAATACCATTCAAATAGAGGCTCGGATGGTTTCTGTTACCTGATATGCCATGGGTGATGGAGTGGGGTGGTAGCTGGCAGGCGAGTGGGTGTTCTGGTAGCCCACAGGACTTGGGGCCACTTGGTGGTAGCTTTGTGGACTTGGGCTTGGTTGGTAGGAGCCCTGTGGTGATGGAGCAGCATACGGAGAGAACTGGTCCGTGTTGTACCTGAATAGGAAGAAATGAGGAGAAGAGAAGGAGATTGCAATGTGAGTGATAGAAATTGCAAGTGAGAGGCTTATTTAAGAGCCTGAAGATGAATGTATGAAACGCAGGTGTGACGAGACATGAGTGTGACTGAAGAGGGTGCTAAGCGGCATGAGGTTTGCTGAAGAAGCCTGTACAAGATATTCAGTGTAAATGGCTGTAAAAGTTAGACCTTTAAGAGATTATGTGAGGAATTAGGTGAATGTAAGGTCTGTATGATATTCGAGTGGACAGAATTGGCACAATGTGTGAGTGTAGACGACTGGGCAACAATTGTACAATTTAAGCAGTAGGAGAAGTCGAACTTGAACAATACACTCACATGGCTGGTGTTCCTGGAGTCTGAGGGTGGTACGGAGCATTGACCTGGGGAGATGGCACATCAGGATATCCGGGAGTCTGGGGATTAGGGGTACCACCATAGCCTTGGGGTGATGGAGATGGTTCATCATCATATCTGTAATCATATTCTTCATCCGCCCTGTGCAATAGGAATTAGTAGAAGGTTGAGCTGAGCAGTAGTCAAGCATACAGACTGAACGGAGAGTAACCAGCACACGTACATGCCGGCAGATGGAGAATCCCACTCAGACTGAAGAAAAAGTGCATACACTCAATGAAGAGAACCTGGAAAACATGCACACACAGTATCTACTGTTTTGAGACACACTCACCTTGAAGGAGTGTTTGGGTTGTTGGGATCCCAGGCCCCACTTTGAGCAGGGGTTCGGCTTCCATCGTGCAGAGGTGTTTGAGATCCATAGTGAGGAGTCCGGCTCCCTGCAACAAGGTGGAGGTAAGAAAAGCGTGAAGGGGAAAAACTGGATTAAAGCTAGGAGGAAACAAAGAAATGCAACAATGACAGAGTTAAAAAGTTAAGGAAACTAAAATCCGATCATATAAAAATAAAGTGGGGGAGGTGAACACTGTATCTCACCATCGTGCAGTGGAGTCTGTGAACCATACATGGGAGTTCTGGAACCGGTACCATACATGGGGGTCTGGGAGCCATATATAGGGGTGCGAGCATGAGTAGAGGTCATTCCTCCGGGACGCCGAGAACCACTGGACAAGAAAAACAAGAACCTTAAACATACTGAGCAGCCAATGAAGAAATTGATGTTACTTCTGGTACCGAAATTTAAGTGAAGACACCCGGACAATAAGTCGAGGGCAGATACTAAAATATATACATGGTAAAAGCGCTTGTACAGTGTTAAATATCGATGTAAAACTGTAGAGTGTTACTGACACAGCAGTTAGGCGCTGTCTGTCCACAGAGATGGTCTGACATGTGGAATGAAGCTCCACCCTGGCTGTGGATTCCGTGGCATCTTTCACAACCCCAATATATCCTAAAAGAGAAGATGTAAGATCCTTAAAGAGTTATACTTAGTGTGAGAAGGAGCTCTCAGTATACGGTAAATATAACGTTTACAATGACCACTTAACGGCCACTTACCTTTATAAGGACCTTGTGAGATTCTAACAGTCTGACCAATGAGATCGTTGTCTCGACGACCTCGGCCCCTCCCTGCACCACCACCACCACCTCCTCCAGCCATGCCACCACGACCTGATGGAACGGGACACAATGTGAATTCATTGGTCTACAAGACACTGACATTCTGATTATGTGCTCAGGGGTCATACCTGCTCCACTAGGATGTATTGGACTACTTATTCGGGGACTCATTGGGGCAAACCCTCCAATTGTAAAGTTGGTAACATCTCGAGGCTGTAAAAGGACATTAGGTCAGAAGACTAGAAGGCACAATAAGAAGCCCACCCACTCCATTTAGGGTGCCCATCTTTACCTTTGAACCTCCAGCCAAAACCAAGTAACGCGTTTTGCACACAAACATTCCACCATTTTCAACCAGCTTCTTGCAGTGCAGGAATGCATAATTGCGGAATAAGTGCCGAATTTCACCCTCTCGGCCCTAAAAGCAGAGAAAGGGTAATGTAGAATAAAAGTAATTAAATTGAGCGAGAAAGAAAGTGAATAATGCAGTGTGAGAATGAATAAAAAGAGGATGTCCTAACCGAATGTGGTCCATCAATGACTTTGACGATGTCCTTAACATGGATATTGTTCTCTTCAGAATCTAAAGCCACAGCAAAGCGATTGTCCTTCTTCCGGTTGACAGCCTGGTGTCTGACTGTGACTACTTTACCATGCATGTTCAGAACCTATGGAAAACAAAAAAACATTCTACTACATTGGTACAATCACCCAAAGCACTGGGGCAAAGATGCCTCCATCTTTTCTACTCTTTGTTCTGCTTTAGTAATTGCAAAAAGTATAAGGTATTCAAATTTCAAGGTGATGTAATGCAACGATCAGACTCCTATCACACTGAGCCGGGCTCTATTACAGCAATATCTCTACATCACACTGAGCCGGGCTCTATTACAGCAATATCTCTACATCACACTGAACCGGGCTCTATTACAGCAATATCTCTACACCACACTGAACCAGGCTCTATTACAGCAATATCTCTACATCACACTGAACCGGACTCTATTACAGCAACATCTCTACATCACACTGAACCGGGCTCTATTACAGCAATATCTCTACATCACACTGAACCAGGCTCTATTACAGCAATATCTCTACACCACACTGAACCAGGCTCTATTATAGCAACATCTCTACATCACACTGAACCGGGCTCTATTACAGCAACATCTCTACATCACACTGAACCGGGCTCTATTACAGCAATATCTCTACATCACACTGAACCGGGCTCTATTACAGCAATATCTCTACATCACACTGAACCGGGCTCTATTACAGCAATATCTCTACATCACACTGAACCGGGCTCTATTACAGCAATATCTCTACACCACACTGAACCGGGCTCTATTACAGCAATATACATCACACTGAACCGGGCTTTATTACAGCAATATCTCTACATCACACTGAACCGGGCTCTATTACAGCAATATCTCTACACCACACTGAACGGGATCTATTACAGCAATATGCTATACCACTGAACCGGGCTTTATTACAGCAATATCTCTACACCACACTGAACCGGGCTCTGTTACAGCAATATCTCTACACCACACTGAACCAGGCTCTATTACAGCAATATCTCTACACCACACTGAACCGGGCTCTATTGCAGCAATATCTCTACATCACACTGAACCGGGCTCTATTACAGCAATATCGCTGCATCACACTGAACCGGGCTCTATTACAGCAATATCGCTACATCACACTGAGCCGGGCTCTATTACAGCAATATCTCTACATCACACTGAACCGGGCTCTGTTACAGCAATATCTCTACACCACACTGAAACAGGCTCTATTACAGCAATATCTCTACTGAACAGGCTCTATTACAGCAATATCTCTACATCACACTGAACCGGGCTCTATTGCAGCAATATCTCTATATCAGGTGGAATTACACTGCATTATAGTAATTATAGCAATAAGACTTGAATTATTGTTACGGTGCTCTATTACCCAATATAACAGAACAGGCCCCTGTATCAATAAATCTGGTTCATTTTGGGCAGAGTAATGAGACAATACGAGGATAACACAATCATAAACACTCACCTGGAAGGTTTCTCTTTCTAGACGTACAATGACTCCCACTGTTTGAGGATCTAGCTGAACAAGTTCCCCCCATTCGTGCTGCCCTCCGACATCCACTCCTGACGCGGTTTCTGAACACAGCTGCAGGTCTCGAGGGAGCACCTTTAGCTAAAGTTGGTGGAACATTAAAATACTATCAAAGCTTTATTTACATTAATAACAAATGGACTAGGTTAGAAAATACACAGATGGTAGAAGCTATTCTGGAACTCTTTGGGTTTCGGATCATTTTTGAGACCATAACTATGGTTTACTTATCGCATATAATAGGAACACTGCATCATCAACAAAATGTTTTTTAAAAAAGGCAGGAAAATGTAAAAGATATATAATGTGCAAGATATATTACAAATGGACCTCCAGTAAATTGAGCAAAAGGAGATGAATAAATTATAAAGGAAAACTGCAAAAACCTAAGGCAATGTAGCTTGATTAAGTGTTTTATGTATGAAGAGTGGATTTTTTATTTATTTTTTTTACAAAAAGTGCAGATTTTAAAAGAAATTATCACTTTTCTAAATTAACCTGGTTACACCCCACTAGGGGTCAATCAGACAATAAGTCCTGTTACTTCCTGGTTTGTTTAGCTCAGTTGAGCTAAACTCAAGAGGAAGAAATTATCCAGAACACCTGCCTTGCAAATACTTCTCAATGAGCTGCTTTTGAAAGTCTGTGATTGGACAGCCACAGAATAACTTTGCGGGGTTAGAAGTAGAGGATAGCAAAGGCTTCAGACAAGAGATCTGCTGATTTAGCAAGCTTTTTTGTAGATATACCAACAACAAAAAAATGCATATTTAAATGCATGCATGTTCATAGGGGTTATGTCTACTAAACAATGATTTTTGTTTTGTATTCGGGCAGTGGAGTGTCCTTTTAAACCCATTAGTCAGTCAGTTACAAAGCATATTGATGACAAAGAGAACAGATACATACCTCGTGCATTGTCAGATCAGAAAAAAGAATGACAAAATTCTCTTCCACGCGCACAACAAGACCGGTGTCTCCTTCATAGCGTCCAGCGATGACCTTCACGTGGTCCCCCATCCGGAAATATTTTCTCAATTCCTGTGCTGGAAATTCCAGGATGTCCTATTTCAGAGAAAAGTAAAAAATAAAAAAAATAAAAATGGCATGATGAAAGGGTTCTCAACTCTTCATTTGTAGAAAAGACAGAGGGGATGGAATTAATGAAGGAATATAAAGAACGGCCCAAACACTGGGGTATGAGAACACCTAATGTGTAACAATTATTAAATAAAGGCTACATCTTCTACAGCTGAATTCCAAGCCAAAGACTGGTAAGAGACTCATTTCAGCACTTAAAGGTTTAAAAGAATCCTTCCTATGTGTGCATGTAATTTGCACATGTTGTGTGTACAAATAGAATGAAACGGACATAAAGGAGGAATTGAATCGAGAGTAATGTCTTATAGCCATGTGATTTTTGCAAATTGCTGCAGTTATAAGAACTCAGGATGCAGGGTACGTGCAGCACAGTGGTATTTGGATAGAAAGGGAGAATATACATCATGCCATGGGCTCCATATCTCCCAGAATAAAAGGGAAGGAGAGATTAATTCATGTCTATGAGGACTATAGAATGCTTTGTTTTTGGTATGAAGGAGAATAGATTGCATTGCTAGTCCCCATCAAGGACATATTTCTAGGGGATTATGTAGACCCAGTAGTGAGTTTCTGAGGGCAGTAAGGTAGCAGTGGGACAGGAATATTGGAGTTTTAGTGATGGGATAGGGTCCTGCGGAGCTTACGACCCTGGAGGTAAGGTGAGGGGGAGTTTGGTGGGTTTCGTGTTGTGTTTAGTTAGTGGCCTCACCTTAAGATCCTCGTGTTTTGGTAGAATAGTAATCTTGTTCCCGTCCACGCTGAGAATCTTTCCCTGAAGATTTATCAATTCTCCTTCACAAACCTCCACATTATCTCCCGGCTGCAGACTGTGCTCACGTTCCTTTCCTGAACAAAATCAGGACAATAAGTACATTACACATCAACAATATACACACCCAAAATAACCCAACACAGTTCTGTATACGCACAACATACACAGAGAAATCCATTGCCCAGAATTTGGCTCAAACTGATTTTTCCTTTCTTTAATGAAGCACTACTAGAGAAGCAACATCCTTAATTATTATTGCCATTTATATAGCGCCAACAGATTCCGTAGCGCTTTACAATATTTTGAGAGGGGGGATGTAACAATAAATAGGACTATTACAAGAAAACTTACAGGAACAATAGGTTGAGGAGGGCCCTGCTCAAACGAGCTTACAGACTATAGGAGGTGGGGTATTAGAAACATTAGGACAGGAAATATCAAGTAGGAGAGAAGCAGAGCTGGAGGAGAGAGCAAAGCACTGTCCCATAGGAGAGAGCAGGAGACAGGTATGTAAGGTAGAGATTACTCTGGGAGGCCATAAGCTTTCCTGAAGAGATGGGTTTTAAGCCCTTCTCAAATAATTGAAGACTAGGGGAGAGTCTGATGGCGGTAGGCAGGCTATTCCATAGGAGAGGAGCTGCCCGCGAGAGGTCCTGCAAGCACGAGTTGGCCGTGGGGTGAGGGGTGAGGTGTGAGAGGACCGACTAGAGAGGAAAATCAGCCTAGCTGCAGCATTCATTACAGACTGTAGCGGGGCAATACGGCTTTTGGGGAAACCAATCAGGAGAGGGTTACAGTAATCCATGCGGGAAATTACTAGAGCATGGACAAGCTCCTTGGTAGCATCTTGCGTAAGAAAGGGGCGATGCGGGCTATGTTTTTGAGTTGGAACCTACAGGACTTGGCAACAAACTGGATGTGAGACTCAAAGGTGAGACCAGAGTCAAGTATGACGCCAAGACAGCGTGCTTGCAGGGATGGACTTATGTGGATATCACTGACTTGAAGGGAGAGCGAGAGAGGAGGATCAGTATTAGGAGGAGGAAAGACAAGGAGTTCAGTTTTAGAGAGACTGAGTTTCAGAAAGCGTGAGGTCATCCAGTCAGAGATGGAAGAAAGGCAAGCAGTGACACGTTGCAGGACGGCAGGGGAGAGGTCCGGGGAGGAGAGGTATATCTGAGTGTCATCAGCGTACAGGTGGTAGCGGAATCCAAATGAGTTAATACGTTTGCCAAGAGACAGTATAAAAAGAAAATAGAAGGAGACCAAGTACAGAGCCTTGGGGGACTCCAACCGAGACAGGACGAGGGGAGGAGGTATCATTAGAAAAGGAGACACTGAATGAGCGATGGGAGAGATAGGAGGAAAACCAAGAGAGGACAGAGTCACAGAGACCGAGCGATTGAAGAGTTTGAAGGAGGAGAGCATGATCAATGGTGTCAAAGGCAGCAGAGAGGTCAAGGAGAATTAATATGGAGTAGTGACCTTTGGATTTAGCGGAGATTAAGTCATTAGTCACTTTGATAAGAGCAGTCTCAGTAGAGTGGAGAGGGCGGAAGCCAGACTGAAGAGGGTCAAGGAGAGAGTTGGAATTAAGGAAGCGGGACACACGGGTAAAGAAAAGTCTTTCCAAAAGCTTTGATGAGAAAGGGAGCATGGATAAGGGACGATAGTTAGAAGGGGAGGATGGGTCAAGAGATGTTTTTTTTCAGGATAGGTATTACAGATTTACAGAGAATCGCCCATAGAAACTTTCTGTGTCTGTATACAGAGATGGACAGTAATAACAACCCATTGCATTCACCTTCCCTGATTATTATCCAATACATTAGCTGAGAACTGGGGGTGGGGAGGGAGATAAACACTTATTTATTACCTGTTGCTTCAGTAACCACTTCAAGATCAACTCCTTCAGGCTGATCCTCAAACTTCTCCAACTCAGACAGAGTTGGTTTCACCCCATCCGTGATCTGGGAAACATAAGGGACATCACACTCCTGTACACAGCACTATTCAACTATCCAGAGATCGGGAACAGAGAGGGACTGAACCCCACTATAAAGTGTACCGGAACGGGGAGACAGAACTGCCTAGTTTGTGCATTTAAAAAAAATCAATGTATTCCCAGTAAGCAGGTTACTCGTGGCCGGGGCTGTTTATATGTTATTGGTGTATTCCCAGTAAGCAGGTTACTCACGGCCGGGGCTGTTTATATGTTATTGGTGTATTCCCAGTAAGCAAGTTACTCACGGCCGGGGCTGTGTATATGTTATTGGTGTATTCCCAGTAAGCAGGTTACTCGTGGCCGGGGCTGTTTATATGTTATCGGTGTATTCCCAGTAAGCAGGTTACTCACGGCCGGGGCTGTGTATATGTTATTGGTGTATTCCCAGTAAGCAGGTTACTGTGTATATGTTATTGGTGTATTCCCAGTAAGCAGGTTACTCACGGCCGGGGCTGTGTATATGTTATTGGTGTATTCCCAGTAAGCAGGTTACTCACGGCCGGGGCTGTGTATATGTTATCGGTGTATTCCCAGTAAGCAGGTTACTCATGGTCGGGGCTGTGTATATGTTATTGGTGTATTCCCAGTAAGCAGGTTACTCACGGCCGGGGCTGTGTATATGTTATCGGTGTATTCCCAGTAAGCAGGTTACTCACGGCCGGGGCTGTGTACATGTTATCGGTGTATTCCCAGTAAGCAGGTTACTCACGGCCGGGGCTGTGTATATGTTATTGGTGTATTCCCAGTAAGCAGGTTACTCACGGCCGGGGCTGTGTATATGTTATCGGTGTATTCCCAGTAAGCAGGTTACTCATGGTCGGGGCTGTGTATATGTTATTGGTGTATTCCCAGTAAGCAGGTTACTCACGGCCGGGGCTGTGTATATGTTATTGGTGTATTCCCAGTAAGCAGGTTACTCATGGTCGGGGCTGTGTATATGTTATTGGTGTATTCCCAGTAAGCAGGTTACTCACGGCCGGGGCTGTGTATATGTTATTGGTGTATTCCCAGTAAGCAGGTTACTCACGGCCGGGGCTGTGTATATGTTATCGGTGTATTCCCAGTAAGCAGGTTACTCATGGCCGGGGCTGTGTATATGTTATCGGTGTATTCCCAGTAAGCAGGTTACTCATGGTCGGGGCTGTGTATATGTTATCGGTGTATTCCCAGTAAGCAGGTTACTCGTGGCCGGGGCTGTGTATATGTTATCGGTGTATTCCCAGTAAGCAGGTTACTCACGGCCGGGGCTGTGTATATGTTATCGGTGTATTCTCAGTAAGCAGGTTACTCACGGCCGGGGCTGTGTATATGTTATCGGTGTATTCCCAGTAAGCAGGTTACTCATGGTCGGGGCTGTGTATATGTTATCGGTGTATTCCCAGTAAGCAGGTTACTCATGGTCGGGGCTGTGTATATGTTATCGGTGTATTCCCAGTAAGCAGGTTACTCATGGTCGGGGCTGTGTATATGTTATCGGTGTATTCCCAGTAAGCAGGTTACTCATGGTCGGGGCTGTGTATATGTTATCGGTGTATTGCCAGTAAGAAAAATTAAAGAAATATGGCCATGCTTACTCACCACTGCAGACATTGCAAAGCTCTTGAACAAGAAACCTTTACGGCTGTAACGATTGCCCTCAAAAATGAGGAAATCTCCATCTGAAGACACATCTCCTCCTAAGGACCTGTGAACAAAGAGAGAGGTTGCAGGTATGTGCAGGATCCACCAATGGGTGACCAACTGGTACGACCGGGATATCATTTCCTCTATGTACAAAGCTCTGTGAAAAGCGAGTTCTGAAAAGAGACCTTGTGCTTTACATACATTAAGGAAGTCTGGTGAATCCTTCTCTGTGACGGGGATTAAACTAAAATCTCAACATGCAGCTTGGGAAAAAAATTTTTTTTTAAAATCTCCTATTCACCTGTTTTTTCAATCTGTCACATAAGCAAGTCACCGAAAATGTACTCACCTTATCTTCTCTGTATCAAACAGCCTCTGAGGGGGTCTGCGGAACTTCTTCCTCTTGGCGAACCAATCCTTCTGCAGAGGTCAAAATCATAGCAAACAATGATATACATCATCAGATACCAGGAATGGGCAGATAAATAAAATGTAGGAAGCAGAGCATGCATGTGGTAAGAGATAAAGAAGAAAAACACTCAAATGAGCAAGAGAACTAGTTGACAAAAAAAAAAAAAAGATCCCAGGAGCAAAGGTGGAGCAAAGACAGGTTGGGTAGCAATTTGGGGAGTAGGTGAGGTCACAAACAAAGGCAGGATGTGGAAAGGTAGAAAAGCGAGGAAAGAGCAAGCGAAAAATGAGAGATGGAGAGACACTGAGTGCGGGAAAACATAACATACCAGACTCATGCGTGCTTTGATACGATCATAGTCAATTCTGGGGATCATTTTAAGCGATATGGTATTCTGACTAGGCTCCACGTAATCCACCTAGGAAGCAGGATTTACACAGATTACAAATTATTCCTCATCTCTCCAGAAACCATTAAACAGTTTAGTTTAACGCCTCTTTCTCCCAATCGTTGCTCCATTTGACACTGAAAGGCTAAATCGTCATCCAAGCGTCTACACACCATTAAACGCTTACCTGAGCTATGTCGTCCTTGTAGATACCTCTCTTCAGTCGCACCCAGGATTTAGGTTTGAGATTTGTAACCTCCTTCACAACCTTCAGAACGTCAGTCATTTCCTTAATGGGCACCATTTGTTGATTCCAGAAGCCCATGCGCAAATTGCCAACTCCCTCAATGGCCTGTTTAACGTGAGTCTGTTTGTATGCCTCCACATAGATATAACCCTTAACATGCTCCGGGGCAACCACCGATTTAATCTGAAGAGGCTGCAGAAAGAAATGTACAAAGCTCACAAAAGAAAACGAAGAGGAGACAGGAATCAGGGAGATAGAGGAGAACCTGACAAGTGAGAACAGTCTGAAAGAGAAGATTGGGGAACAAAAAGGGAAATATTAAAGAGAGGGTTCAGCAAAAAGCTGAAAACCATTAGAAAAGGTATAACGGAGGGTGCCATGTGGCCCAGTTAATGTAAGGAAATATTGTTATCTGGATCATGTCATTTGGGATCCACTTTAAGGATATCTCTGGATTAACTCTGTGTGAAAGATTAAATAAAAGTATAACTAAAGGTAATTCTAGTCCGCTTACTGAATCTGTGAATTGGTACGCAATGAATTTCCTCATCAAGGCGATGGCAGTGGCTCTTTCCTCTCCAATCTGTGGGAGTAAAGGGAGATGCTGAAGCCAGTTCACATCACCAAGTTGCTCTAATACCCATCGTTCTCTAATGTCCTTACACATGCAAGTTCTCACATGCTCTGCATACAGAGCTCTAATACGTACATTTTTTGCATACAACGCTCTAATACACACCTAAATGTTTTCAAACCTAAGCAAATTTAAAGGATCTGTTACCCCCAAGCATCCAGTTTATAATGCATCTATACCCAAACATGCTTGAAGATTCCCATACAATTTATGAAAACGCCCCATACATAATTCTGGAACACCCCCAATACTAAGCCCTAAACTTCTGGATAGTCCACACTCATCCCCAGCACAATGCACCAAGACATGCCCCGACACGCCATATATATCATAATCTAATACCAAAATATGCTCCGATACTCCACACATAGCATCAACTAATAATCCACGCATAGCATGAAATAATAGCAAAACAGGCTCTGATACTCATACAAAATAAATCACTACACACCAAAGCACCACGTTCTGATACCCCTAAACACAACGCTTTAAATCCCCCTCCCATACACCTACCTTGCATTTTACTGTCCAGAGATTGGGGTCTCTGCAGGACAAATAAATCATTTGATTTAAAGCACATTAAAGAGAAATATATATACAGTGAATCTAACTCGCATATCACAAATAGAAAAACATTTATACAGCACACAATGGATAACTTTCCATATTTCACCATAAATGTTACAGGAGAAAATACAATGAAAAATTAATGTTTGATATGAGAATGTCTTAAAGGGGTTTATGGCACACTTTTTAATCGTGCACAATTCTAGATTACCTGTCTAATTGTGAGACAGCTAGGAGGGAAGATTCCCCTGTTCTCATCAGAGAGGATGGTCTGCAATGGGTAATGAGAAGGTGCCACTTACTTGACTCCAGGAAGCAGCTGCTGCTGTGTGATGTCATCAGATAATTCATCAGATCCACCATATATGCTGAAAAGGAGGAAAAGAAAATAAAGATTTACAGAATGGTTCAAACCTAGACATTGTACAGGAAACACCGCAGAGCGCGGCAAAGTCAAACACCATCCAGGAACAAATTCTTCTTTACCACTTTAAGCAAAGTTTCTCCTTAAATAACTAAAGATATACGATCTTGAATTTAAATATTACCTTCCTTATGACTTTTCTTTCCCACTCATTGAGTTCCAGCATTTATTACATTTAAATCTGAAACTAAAGTTGGGTATGGATACTCACTGTTCTCCTACAGAAGACTTGGCATATTTTTTCATGTAGTATTCACCCAGTTCCTCTTCTCTCTGATCTCTGCGGAGAAAATGCAGGTGAGATCAACCAGTCTGGACAAAGAATGTGCAATGATCAACTCCATATATTCTCCAGATGGATCATTGTAAATGTGGGCTTCCTACCTCCACAAATTCTGCAGTCGCCGGGCCCCCGAGCGGTCCTCATCCAGGACCACATTGTCAATGTTAGAAGCTGCAAGATGAAACATACAGTGAGTGAGGGGAGTTGCCACTAAGACATTTTGCTGACTCTGCTCCAAAAAGTGCCCCCCTTACAGAGAACTGTTTCTACAAAGTGAATAAGTGAATTAAGTATAACCTTCCTTATTTTAATGTAGGAAAGCTTTGTACATGACAAGTTTAGTTTTCTTTTTCGGTTTGTTTTTTGCTTTTTTTAACTGCTGCTAGCACACATAAATCTTCATTCTGCACTGGTTTGCTGCCGTGAACTTCCTGTATCCTCCGAGCAGGCACGCTGGCTGCAGATTCCTGTGTCCTCCGAGCAGGAAGACAGGCTGCCAATTCCTGTATCCTCCGAGCAGGCACGCTGGCTGCAGATTCCTGTATCCTCCGAGCAGGGAAGCTGGCTTGCCTGCGAACTTCCTTTATCCTCCAAGCAGAGAGGCTGGCTTGCCCGCGAACCTCCTTTATGCTCCAAGCAGAGAGGCTGGCTTGCCCGCGAACTTCCTTTATGCTCCAAGCAGAGAGGCTGGCTTGCCCGCGAACTTCCTTTATGCTCCAAGCAGAGAGGCTGGCTTGCCCGCGAACTTCCTTTATCCTCCAAGCAGAGAGGCTGGCTTGACCGCGAACTTCCTTTATGCTCCAAGCAGAGAGGCTGGCTTGACCGCGAACTTCCTTTATGCTCCAAGCAGAGAGGCTGGCTTGCCCGCAAACTTCCTTTATCCTCCAAACAGAGAGGCCGGCTTGCCCGTGATCTTCCTGTATCTTCCTAGCAGAGGCCGGCTTGCCCGTGATCTTCCTGTATCTTCCTAGCAGAGGCCGGCTTGCCCGTGAACTTCCTGTATCTTCCTAGCAGAGGCCGGCTTGCCCGTGAACTTCCTGTATCTTCCTAGCAGAGACCGGCTTGCCCGTGAACTTCCTGTATCTTCCTAGCAGAGACCGGCTTGCCCGTGAACTTCCCGCATCCTCCGAGCAGGGACGCTGGCTACCGATTCCTGTATCCTCCGAGCAGGGAGTCTGGCTGCTGTGAACTTCCTGTATCCTCTGAGCAGGGAAGCTGGCTGCTGTGAACTTCCTGTATCCTCTGAGCAGGGAAGCTGGCTGCTGTGAACTTCCTGTATCCTCCGAGCAGGGAAGCTGGCTGCTGTGAACTTCCTGTATCCTCCGAGCAGGGAAGCTGGCTGCTGTGAACTTCCTGTATCCTCCGAGCAGGGAAGCTGGCTGCTGTGAACTTCCTGTATCCTCCGAGCAGGGAAGCTGGCTGCTGTGAACTTCCTGTATCCTCCGAGCAGGGAAGCTGGCTGCTGTGAACTTCCTGTATCCTCCGAGCAGGGAAGCTGGCTGCTGTGAACTTCCTGTATCCTCCGAGCAGTGTAGCTGGCAGTCAATTCCTGTATCCTCCAAACAGGAAGGCTAGCTGCCGATTCCTGTATACTCCAAGCAGGGAGGCTGGCTTCTGTTAACCTCACATGGTTATGGATTACATGCAGCAGTTTTGTTATCTGGTTCTTTTCCAAAAGTTTTAGAAAAACTTTAACTTGACATGAGTATGCTAACTTAAGCTCTAACGATGCACCGTATATTTCACCTCTATATTTTTCTAGCAATGTATTGGTAAATAAATCTAAAAAATATGATCTCTCACCCGTCAATAAACTGCTGGCATAGAGAGCTACATCAGCAATGGTGAGAAATTATCGACTGATGGTTCTCATTCACCTGTTCTGTAATTATTCCTCTAGCAAACACACCTTCCACTTTGCCAGAGGAGTATAGGAACAGAGTAAGAGCAGTCGAACCGGGTCAGACGCTGGTACATGAACACACCACGTTGGCCTTATGGGGAGGAACGCCCTGCTGTGGGAAGCATTTCTAAGTAGGGCTAACAGAGTAAGAGCAGTCGCTCAGTTCAGACGCTGGTACATGAACACACCACGTTGGCCTTATGGGGAGGAACGCCCTGCTGTGGGAAGCATTGCTAAGTAGGGCTAACAGAATAAGAGAAGTGCAGAACAAATTAGGAAAATGATAGGTGGGTATTATACTGCTGTAACACCCACAAACTTGTGGTCCTGGCGACCGTAACTCACTTGTAAGGAAATAAGTATTTAATATCTTCTATAGCAATAAAACAGATTATCTTTATTAAGAAGAAGTTGAAGATTACTTAAAACAAACCTGTCATGGTAAGTTCACTATAAATATACAAACTAGTATACTATTAAATATAAGCTCAAATTGCTGTATTGTAAATATATCTAACTGGGGAAAGTGTCCAGATCCCATTAAAGGGGAACAAGGCAACAGGGAAGTTTAATATGATTTACTATAAACAAAACACAAGCCACGTCACTTTAAGTGAAGCTATGATCAGACACCGAAGTTTTAATGAAGACCATGTGATCACTTACCTTCAATTTCTTCAGCTGTGAAGAGTGATGGAGCCAAGACAGAATGGAGCAAAACATAGCAGCAAAATCAACGACCGGGGAGATGAGGGACCGGAAAGGGGAGAAATGATAACATGTGGTATAAGAAGCAGCAATGAGCTAACAAAGGGAGTGTGTGTAGCAGATAGTGAGCAAGCAAGCAAGAGCTGGGTAAAGGAAGGGCATTGGGGAATAAAGGTGCATGTATGGAATGTAGAGGAGAAAGCATATCGATGAACAAATTAACAGATCAGGGAGGGTGGCAGAAGGATGAGCAAAAAAAAAAGGAAAAAACCTACAAGCTAAAGAGAAGCAATGAAGGAAAGAACAGAGAGGTGGTGGCAGAGCAGGGTTCACATGTGTCTGGAGTAAAACTAGCTCGGATACACTCAGACATGCACTCAATATACACTGTCTGTGAGTGCACATCAGCACGTTACCCAACACCACACACAAGCTAGAACAGAGAGAGTTTTATTACCAGAAACTGAAAGCGTGCATGCAAGGAATTAAGAAATGAAATGCTAAGTTAGTACACATTTTATTGGAAAATCAGCACGACCCTTTATTCCATCATACTTTTCAAAAACAGCAAAACATATCGGAAGTGAAAAGCAGGCGGGTTGCAAATATACATAAACTGGGTAATTAGGGAAAGTGCAAATATACACCCAGTCTAAGATACAGGATAGAGATATAAACCCAGAGAGCAAGGGACAGGATAGAGATATAAACCCAGCGAGCAAGGGACAGGATAGAGATATAAACCCAGCGAGCAAGGGACAGGATAGAGATATAAACCCAGACAGCAAGATAGAGATATAAACCCAGAAAGCAAGGGACAGGATAGAGATATAAACCCAGAGAGCAAGATAGAGATATAAACCCAGACAGCAAAGGACAGGATAGAGATATAAACCCAGAGAGCAAGATAGAGATATAAACCCAGACAGCAAGGGACAGGATAGAGATATAAACCCAGAGAGCAAGATAGAGATATAAACCCAGAGAGCAAGGGACAGGATAGAGATATAAACCCAGAGAGAAAAGGGAAGATAGAGATATAAACCCAGACAGCAAGGGACAGGATAGAGATATAAACCCAGACAACAAGATAGAGATATAAACCCAGACAGCAAGGGACAGGATAGAGATATAAACCCAGAGAGCAAAGGGACAGGATAGAGATATAAACCCAGAGAGCAAGGGTCAGGATAGAGATATAAACCCAGCGAGCAAGGGACAGGATAGATATATAAACCCAGCGAGCAAGATACAGGATAGAGATATAAACCCAGAGAGCAAGGGTCAGGATAGAGATATAAACCCAGACAGCAAGGGACAGGATAGAGATATAAACCCAGACATCAAGGGACAGGATAGAGATATAAACCCAGACAGCAAGATAGAGATATAAACCCAGACAGCAAGGGACAGGATAGAGATATAAACCCAGAGAGCAAAGGGACAGGATAGAGATATAAACCCAGAGAGCAAAGGGACAGGATAGAGATATAAACCCAGAGAGCAAGGGTAAGGTAGAGATATAAACCCAGACAGCAAGGGTAAGGTAGAGATATAAACCCAGACAGCAAGGGACAGCATAGAGATATAAACCCAGACAGCAAGGGTAAGGTAGAGATATAAACCCAGCGAGCAAGGGACAGCATAGAGATATAAACCCAGACAGCAAGGGACAGCATAGAGATATAAACCCAGACAGCAAGGGACAGGATAAAGATATAAACCCAGACAGCAAGGGACAGGATAAAGATATAAACCCAGACAGCAAAGGACAGGATAGAGATATAAACCCAGACAGCAAGGGTCAAGATAGAGACATAAACCCAGACAGCAAAGGACAGGATAGAGATATAAACCCAGACAGCAAGGGTCAAGATAGAGACATAAACCCAGAGAGCAAGGGACAAGATAGAGATATAAACCCAGAGAGCAAGGGACAGGATAGAGATATAAACCCAGCGAGCAAGATACAGGATAGAGATATAAACCCAGCGAGCAAGGGTCAGGATAGAGATATAAACCCAGCGAGCAAGGGACAGGATAGAGATATAAACCCAGACAGCAAGGGACAGGATAGAGATATAAACCCAGAGAGCAAGATAGAGATATAAACCCAGACAGCAAGGGACAGGATAGAGATATAAACCCAGAGAGCAAGGGACAGCCTAGAGATATAAACCCAGAGAGCAAGGGACAGCATAGAGATATAAACCCAGAGAGCAAGGGACAGGATAGAGATATAAACCCAGAGAGCAAGGGACAGGATAGAGATATAAACCAAGACAGCAAGGGTCAGGATAGAGATATAAAGCCAGGATAGAGATATAAACCCAGACAGCAAGGGTCAGGATAGAGATATAAACCCAGACAGCAAGGGACAGGATAGAGATATAAACCCAGACAGCAAGGGTCAGGATAGAGATATAAACCAAGACAGCAAGGGTCAGGATAGAGATATAAACCAAGACACCAAGGGTCAGGATAGAGATATAAACCCAGAGAGCAAGGGTCAGGATAGAGATATAAACCCAGAGAGCAAGGGTCAGCATAGAGATATAAACCCAGAGAGCAAGGGACAGGATAGAGATATAAACCCAGACAGCAAGGAACAGGATAGAGATATAAACCCAGACAGCAAGGAACAGGATAGAGATATAAACCCAGACAGCAAGATAGAGATATAAACCCAGACAGCAAGATAGAGATATAAACCCAGACAGCAAGATAGAGATATAAACCCAGACAGCAAGGGAAGGGATATAAACCCAGAGAGCAAGGGACAGGATAGAGATATAAACCCAGAGAGCAAGGGACAGGATAGAGATATAAACCCAGACAGCAAGGGACAGGATAGAGATATAAACCAAGACAGTAAGAAACAGGATAGAGATATAAACCCAGACAGCAAGATAGAGATATAAACCCAGAGAGCAAGGGACAGCATAGAGATATAAACCCAGAGAGCAAAGGGACAGGATAGAGATATAAACCCAGAGAGCAAGGGACAGGATAGAGATATAAACCCAGAGTGCAAGGGACAGGATAGAGATATAACCCAGACCGTAAGAAACAGGATAGAGATATAAACCCAGACAGTAAGGTACAGGATAGAGATATAACCCCTACAGTAAAGCACAGGAAAGAGGTATATAGGCAATACATAAAGAAAACATACCTTTCTCCAAAATATCTTCTGCGCCGTCCTCCCACTGATCTTCATCTTCATACTCATCATCAACATCTGAGCAAAAATCAGAAACCAATTAGTTATGCAGGTCATGTCAAACAAGAAGCATTTTCAAACGCCCAATGTATGAGGTACTGAAGCTACTGTACAGAGATACAAACAGTATCTGCTGCATATAATATCAAGAATAACTTGAAATATATATATAGTAATCTAGTTCAGTAATAAAAAAAAAAATATATATACTTTCCTTAAAACCTACAGATCGCAAGTAATGCACAAGTAAACCTGCTCCTGTTTTCTAGGGATCGACAGGCCGCGAGAGTTACACTGGGGAGCTGGAGGAGCTGCTGGGAGGTGAGTAAGCGCTTGATGCCCGCTCCCCCCAGAGCTCAGCCATTACCACTGGACCACCAGGGACTGTCATATCCCCCCTCCCTGGCCAGGCAACAAGCAGGGAGGGGGGACAACAAACAAAAAATAATTAAATCTAAAAAAAATAATAATAATTTAATAAAAAAATGCCCCCTCACACACACTCCATTATATACACATACACTACACAAACACACTGTGTATATAATGCAGTGTGTGTGTATACAATGCACACAAATACACACTGCATTATATACACACACTATACAAACACACACTGCATTATATACACACACTATACAAACACACACTGCATTATATACACACACACACACACACACTACACAAACACACTGTATATAATGCAGTGTGTTTGTGTAGTGTGTGTATATAATGCAGTGTGTGTATATAATGCAGTGTGTTTGTAGTGTGTGTATACAATGCACACAAATACATACACTTTACAAACGCACTGCATTATATACACACACACTACACACACACTGTATTATATACACACACACACACTACACACAAACTGCATTATATACACACACTACACAAAGACTGTATATAATGCAGTGTGTTTGTGTAGTGTGTGTATATAATGCAGTGTGTTTGTGTGCATTGTACACACACACTATACAAATACACACACTGCATTATATACACACACTATACAAACGCACTGCATTATATACACACACTACGCACACACTATATAATGCAGTGTGTTTGTGTAGTGTGTTTATATAATGCAGTGTGTGTGTAGTGTGTGTATATAATGCAGTGTGTTTGCATAGTTTGTGTATATAATGCAGTGTGATATATAATGCACACTACACAAACACACTGCATTATATACACACACACTATACAAACATACACACTCTGCATTATATAAACACACTACACAAATAAATACACACACACACTTTGCATTTAGTATATACAGCATTCACTTTATGCACACTACCCACACACTACACAAACACTCTGCTTTCATTATATACACACTACACTAATACACACTGCATCCACTACACACACTCAACAAATACACACTGCATCCACTACACAAACACACATTGCATCCTCAACACACAAACACACACTACACAAACACTCACAGCTCCCCTGTCTAAACACACTGCATCCACTACATGTGGCATGTATATTTTGTGCATTCATCTTTAGAAATTGTTTTTATTTTCCAAAATGGTAAATGTACAGAATATCGGCAAATTATATCGGCTATCGGCCTGAAAGTTCACAGAATATCGGTATCGGCTCTAAAAAATCAATATCGGTCGATCCCTACTGTTTTCAGCCCCTTTGCTGCTGACCCCTCTGTTTCATGCCAGAGCTAAAAGAATTCGGACACTTTTTTGTGATCTGCAGTTATACACAATGTTTAGTGAAAGTCACAAAGTGAAACTGATCAAGCAGATCATGTGACATACAACTAACGCTTATTCACTAAACCCTAAATACTTCCAAATCAATTCCGGAGAAAAGGAAAAAGGAAAAAAAAAAAGTTTGAAAATTAGCTGGTCTGGAAATATTCTCCAACTCAGTCATATGAACAGCTTGGCTACTCATGCGTCTGTTTTTACATTTGGACTAAATTGACAAACATTTAAACAGTCTTTCATACAAAGGAGCGTACAGGGAGAGATATTAAAGCTGCCTGGATCAGAATATACAGAAATATAAAACAGCCAGTTATGAAGAGAGCAGAGGGATAATGCTGACAAAGCTGCCTAGCTGTGAACTGCACAACAGGTGTTGCCAGGTGTGCAATAAAGTTTAAAAAAAAAAAAAAACAACAACAAAAAACAGACAAAAAAGTGATTTTTCTTTTAACCCCTTCAGGACGAGTGACGGACGATGTCCGTCATTCAGGGAAAACCCTTAACGACGAGTGACGGACCTCATCGGTCACCCGTTAAAATTAACCCCGGATCGCCGCTATTGCGGCGATCGCAGGGTTAATGGTGCTCCGGTATGCCTCTGTATTAGAGGCAGACCGGGAGCACCCGATAGTGCTGCCCAGCACATGTGCTCGCTCTGACAGCATGTCAGAACGAGCACATGTGCATAGTATACTTACCTTCCGCCTCCCTGCACTTCCTGGTTCTGTGTGAAGTGCAGGGAGACGGATCAGTGATGATCCTGCCCCCTGTTAAAAAAAAATTAAAGTTAATTTAAAATCCCACCCACCTTTATCCATTTTAATAAAAAATGAACTCCTTTCCCTGCCAATTGATCACTGAAAACAGTACTTAAATTAATTAATAAAATAAATTTAACCCCTGAGGGTTAAAAAAAGAAAAGAATTAACCCTCAGAGGTTACATTTATTTTATTAATTAATTTAAGTATTTTAAAATTATAAATTTAGCTAGCTGGGGTGGGTGGAAGTTAGTGGGGAATTGGGGGATTTGGTGTTAGGCTAACCAGGGGTTAACGTTAAAAAAAAAGTTTTAAAATAAGCTTTAAAAAGTACAAAATTAAGTTAAAAAAGTTTTAATAACGTTTAAGTAAAAAAAAGAAAAAGAATAAAAACACCCCCTTTAGCAAGTCCAAATAAAAATTAACCCCTTCTCTGCCAGACGATCACTGCCTACAGTGATCAAAATACAGATCACAGTATTATACTGTGATCTAATTTTTTTTTAACCCCTGAAGATGAACTTTTATTTATTTTTTAACCCTCAGGGGTTCAATTTAATTTAATTTAATTAACTGATTTAAATATTTTATAATTATATATTTTGCTAGCTGGGGTGGGTGGGAGTTAGTGGGGAATTGGAGATTTGACGTTAGACTAACTAGGGGTTAATGTTAAAAAAAGTTTTAAAATAAACTTTAAAAAGTTAAAAATTAAGCTTAAAAAATGTTTTAATAACGTTTAAGTAAAAAATAAAAAAACACCCCTCTTTACCTAGTCCAAATAAAAATTAACCCCTTCCCTGCCAGTCGATCACTGCCTACAACGATCAAATACAGATCACAGTATTATACTGTGATCTAATTTTTTTTAATCCCTAAGGATTAACTTTTATTTATTTTTTAACCCTCAGGGGTTCAATTTATTTAATTAATTAATTTAAATATTTTATAACTATATATTTTGCTAGCTGGGGTGGGTGGGAGTTATGGGAAAATTGGGAATTTACTATTAGTGCTGCTTACTGCTAGTTAGGGGTTAACGGTAAAAAAAAAAAAAAAGCTTAGAAAAATCTGTAAAAAAAGTTTTAGGAAAGTTTACAAAAATTAATAAGCAAAACAAAAGTTTAAAAACTAGTTTTAAAAAGTAAAAAAAAGGTAAAAAAAAATACATTTAAAAACGCTCATTACCACTACACCTGGAACAAACTAGAGAAAAAATTATTCCACGCCAAGGTTCAAGATATGCCTTTTGAATTACCCCAGGGTGTATTCTTTAATAAATAGTATGTGTTTGTGGGGAAATTTTAATAATCAACCATCTAAAATACTCCAAATTGGAACATTGGACACAGCGTTAGAAAGTTAGAAAAAAACTGAAAGGCTGCGTCTCAAATGTGCCCCTTCAACATCCACATATACATGGCAAAGGTACATACGGGGGCATTGCTGTACTCACACCACATAGCTGAGCAACATATGAAGTATTATACAGTCGTAGCATAAATAAGGTTTGCAAAATATACTGTGCAAACTCACTTTGTGTGTCAAAAAAGCAGAAAAAAAACGCTTATTACCACTACACCTGGTACAAGCCAGCGGAAAAATGATCCCACGCTAAGGTTCAAAATATACCTTTTGAAATACCCTGGGGTGTCTTCTTTAAGAAATGATAGGCCTTTGTGGGGTAGTTTGAATTTAAAACCTGCGAAGATGTTTGGCAATTGCACATAGGCCCAGCGTCAAAATTCAAAGTTCGGTAAAAACTGATATGGCTTGGTCTCCTATATGGTACTGTAGCTTCACAAAATAGTGCCAAAAACATACAATGGGGGTGTCCTTTTACTCAAAAGACTTAGCGGAGCATAATTCAGGGGGTTTGAACTTAGTGGCACATATGAAATATACAAAATGCCCAGCAAAAATGCAATCCGTATGTAAAAAATGCACAAAATTATTTTTTACCACATACTTTGGCAGATATTGGTGAAAAAATGGGGACATGTTAAGGCACAATATGCACCTTATGAGATACCCTGGAGTGTCTACTTTTACAAATGGTAGGCCTTTGTGGGTTTTTTTTTTTTTGAACAGTCAAACTTCTATAATACCCCCAAATGGAAGCATAGGCTCATTAAATCCGTCTCTCAAAATTCTACTGTGAATACTGAAAAGGACAGGTCTCCTATATGGCACTGTAGCTTCATGAAATAGTGCCAAAGACATACAATGGGGGTGTCATTTTACTCAGCAGATATAACTGAACACAAAATAAAACTTTGTACAGGAATGCACACACGAACTTTACAAAATACACATGAGAATTTCTTTGTTATACGTTTGTGTGCCAAAAACCAAAAAAAACACAATTTTACTCCAATATTTGGCAGAGGTTGGCGGTGAAATGGCTACGTACAAAGTGTCAAAACAACCTTAGAACAATAGCCCATGATGTCTACTTTATATAAATATATACTTTTGTGTGGCAATTTCGTTTTCTTTTATGGCTATTAAGCTTACAAGACAAACATACCAAATTCTAAAATCGCTCCATATTAAAAGTTTATTTTACTCCTTGTGCTTTGTGACCCGTAACTACCAAAAAAAAAAAAACTTAAAATCCCAGACACATTATATATTCTGTAAATCAGAACAACTAAATGAATTTATTTTTAATTACTTTCCTTAACCTGCACTAATTGTGCAAGCATAATTATTGCAAAAACTGTAAAAAAAATTTTTAAAAAAATGCTTTTGTCATTAAGTGGAAGACAAGCTTTTGAAGCTCTTTCCTTAAGGGGTTAAGAGCCTCGTTTTTAAAAACGTTTTGACCCAACAGTGTTATGTCACCTGTCTAATGAGCCCCACCTGATCAATTCAGGGTGTCACAGAAATCGGAAATGTTACTTTGAAATTACCCAACCTGGTGGTCAGACGAGATCTTGGTCTGCAGGTGAGCAAGAGTGCACAATTGTGTTTAAGAGCATATTTATGTTATGAGAGATTTATTTTTGCATGTCACCAATAAACTCGAGTGCTGGAGGCATGCATGGTGCATGGCTTTGCAATGCATTAGGCCCACTTCTAGCAATTTGTTAATCACCAGTGCTCTTTGTAACAGGAGTACTTTGTGATTTAATGCTACGGTTTCTTACCGGCTTCATCAAGGATAAATCCTCCATGTCGCGGTTTCTTTCGAGGCCGATCATCATCCTCCTCCTCCTCCTCTTCATCATATTCATCCTCATCCTCCTCTTCAACCTCTTCTTCATCTCCTTTCTCACTGCCAGCAGCACTAGCTCTCTCTTCCTCCGCTTCCTGCTGCAGTCAAATGAGAGAGGAAGATCTATTCATGTCCTGAAGTGGAACATTATAGAGATTTCCTATAGAAGAGATGTATGGCCTCTCTTACCTCTACTTCCTCAGCTTCGCTGCTCCTCTCACTATCCTCCTCGGAGAAATTGCTATCCTCGCTGTCTGACATGGTCACCTGTTTCTTGCACCAATGAGCTCTGAAAGGAACAATAAACAAGGTAATCGCCATGAAAGGTACTCTATATCTCTCACTTTCTCCTAGGGAACATTCCTGTCATGTTGTCTTCAATTACTTTTACATGAGTCTTGTTACATATCTATATGTCTCTCTATATATCTAGAGACAGACAGACACACACACACACACCTCTCTCTCAAGTTAGCAGTATTTCTCTTTATATTAATATATAATTATTTTTATAACCAGATCTCTCTCAACGATCTTATATAATGATACATATCCCAAAATCACAATCTATATAATATTTATTAACTGACGTTGAAGTATCTCTATATGATAATATATAATAATATTTATCACCTGATATCGCAGTCTGTCTCTCTCTACATAATATATAATGATATTTATTACCTGATATCACAGTATCTCTCTCCATATAATATATAATGATATTTATTACCTGATATAGCAGTCTCTCTCTCTCTACAGGTGATCCTCGAAAAATTTGAATATTGTGCAAAAGTCCATTTATTTCACTAATGCAACGTAAAAGGGGAAACTAATATATGAGATAGACGCATTACAAGCAAAGCAAGATAGTTCAAGCCGTGATTTATCATAAGTGCGATGATTATGGTTTACAGTTCATGAAAATCCCAAATCCACAATCTCAGTAAATTAGAATATTGTGAAAAGGTGCAATATTCTAGGCTCACAGTATCCCACTCTAATTAGCTAAGTAAGCCATAACACCTGCAAAGGGTTTCTGAGCCTTTAAATGGTCTCTCGGTCTGGTTCAGTAGGAATCACAATCATGGGGAAGACTGCTGACCTGACAGTTGCGCAGAAAACCATCATTGACACCCTCCATAAGGAGGGAAAGCCTCAAAAGGTAATTGCGAAGGAAGTTGGATGTTCCCAAAGTGCTGTATCAAAGCACATTAATAGAACGTTATGTGGAAGGGAAAAGTGTGGAAGAAAAGGGTGCACAAGCAGCAGGGATGACCGCAGCCTGGAGAGGATTGTCAGGAAAAGGCCATTCAAATGTGTTGGGCACTTTCACAAGGAGTGGACTGAGGCTGGAGACAGTGCATCAAGAGCCACCACACACAGATGGATCCTGGACATGGGCTTCAGATGTCGTATTACTCTTGTCAAGCCGCTCCTAAACAACAAACAACGTCAGAAGCGTCTTACCTGGGCTAAAGAAAAACAGACCTGGTCTGTTGCTCAGTGGTCCAAAGTCCTCTTTTCTAATGAAAGCAACTTTTGCATCTCATTTGGAAACCAAGGACCCAGAGTCTGGAGGAAGAATGGAGAGGCACACACTGCAAGATGCTTGAAGTCCAGTGTAAAGTATCCAAAGTCTGTGTTGATTTGGGGAGCCATGTCATCTTCTGATGTTGGTCCACGGTGCTTCACAATGCAGCTGTCTACCAGGAGATTTTGTAGCACTTCGTGCATCCTTCCGCAGACGAGCTTTATGGGGATGCTGACTTCATTTTCCAGCAGGACTTGGCACCTGCCCACACTGCCAAAAGTATCAAAGCCTGGTTCAATGACCGTGGGATTACTGTGCTTGATTGGCCAGCAAACTCGCCTGACCTGAACTCCACTGAGAATCTATGGGGCATTGCCAAGAGAAAGATGAGAGACATGAGACCAAACAATGAAGAAGAGCTGAAGGCCGCTACTGAAGCATCCTGGTCTTCCATAACACCTTAGCAGTGCCACGGTCTAATCGCTCCCATGCCACAAAGCATTTAGGCTGTAATTGGGCCCAAACCAAGTACTGAGTCCATATGCATGCTTATAATTTTCAGAGGTCCGATATTGTTCTATGTACACTCGTTGTTTTATTGATTGCATGTAATATTCTAAACTACTGAGATTGTGGATTTGGGGTTTTCATGAGCTGTAAGCCATAATCATCGCACTTATGACAAATCACGGCTTGAACTATCTCGCTTTGCATGTAATGCGTCTATTTCATATATTAGTTTCCCCATTTACGTTGCATTACTGAAATAAAGGAACTTTTGCACGATATTATAATTTTTCGAGTATCACCTGTATATAATATATAATGATATTTATTACCTGATATCACAGTCTCTCTCTCTCTATATATATAATATATAATGATATTTATTACCTGATATCGCAGTCTTTCTATATAATATATAATGATATTTATTACATGATATCGCAGTCTCTCTCTCTATATATATATAATATTTATTGCATGATATCCAAGTATCTCTCTCTCTATATATAATATATATATATATATTATAAAATGATATTTATTACCTGATATCGCAGTCTCTCTCTATAATATATAATGATATTTATAACCTGATATCGCAGTCTCTCTCTCTAAATATAATATATAATAGGGATCGACCGATTATCGGTCTGGCCGATATTATCGGCCGATATTTGGTATTTTCGGCAATATCGGTATCGGCCAATTCAGATACCGATATTGCCGATAATATATAACAGGACCGCCGGGCCCATTACAAGCCCGGCGGTCCTGTGGGGGCCAGCAGCAAGCGCTGACTTACCTTGCATGCAGCTCCTACAGCTCCCTGTGTAAATCTCGCGAGACCCGCGGCCGCAGAGCGTTGCCACGGGTTACCATGGCAACGCTCCGCGCGGCACTAAGAGCCGCGAGATTTACACAGGGAGCTGTAGGAGCTGCATGCAAGGTAAGTCAGCGCTTGCTGCTGCTGAGCCACCACTGTACTTAACAAGCCACTGGACCACCAGGGAATACTATATCCCCCTCCCTGGTAAGAAGCAGGGAGGGGGGACTAAACAAAAAATAAAAAAAACATTTCAATATTAAAAAAAAAATTAAAATAAAAAATTACACAAATTACATCACTACACACACACACACTGCACACATACTGCATAACATACACACTACACAAACACACTGGGGGGGGACTAAACAAAAAAAAAACATTTAAATATTAAAAAAAAATATTAAAATAAAAAATTACACAAATTACATCACTACACAAACACACACTACACAAACACACACTGCACACATACTGCATTACATACACACTACACAGGCACACACACTGCATTACATACACACACTACACAGACAGACACTGCACACATACTGCATTACAGACACACACTGCATTACATACACACTACACAAACACAGTACACATACTGCATTACATACACACACACTACACAGGCACACACACTGCATTACATACACACTACACAAACACTACACTGCACACATACTGCATTACAGACACACTACACTGCACACACACTGCATTACATACACACTACACAAACAGTACACATACTGCATTACATACACACTACACAGACACACACACTGCATTACATACACACTACACAAACACACACTACACAAACACACACACACTGCATTACATACACACACAAAAACACACTGCATTATACACACACACTACATAAACACACTGCATTATATACACACACTACATAAACACACTGCATTATATACACACACTACATAAACACACTGCATTATATACACACTACACACACTGCATTATATACACACACACTACACAAACACACACAGTTCCCCTGTCTAAACACACTTCATCCACTACATGTGGCATGTATATTTTGTGCATTTACCTTTCGAATTAGTTTATTTATTCAAAATAGTAAATGTACAGAATATCGGCAAGATATCGGCTATCGGCCTGAAAGTTTGCAGATTATCGTATCGGTATCGGCTCTAAAAAATCAATATCGGTCGGCTCTGAAAAATCAATATCGGTCGATCCCTAATATATAATGATATTTTTTACCTGATATCACAGTATCTCTCTCTCTATATAATATATAATAATATTTATTACCTGATATCACAGTCTCTCTCTATATATAATACATAACGATATTTATTACCTGATATCGCAGTATCTCTCTCTATATATAATATATAATGATATTTATTACCTGATATCACAGTATCTCTATATAATATATGATATTTTTTAGCTGATATCACAGTATCTCTCTCTCTATATAATATATAATAATATTTATTACCTGATATCACAGTCTCTCTCTATATATAATACATAACGATATTTATTACCTGATATCGCAGTATCTCTCTCTCTCTATATATAATATATAATGATATTTATTACCTGTTATCGCAGTATCTCTCTATATATAATATATAATGATATTTATTACCTGATATCGCAGTATCTCTCTCTATATATAATACATAATGATATTTATTACCTGATATCGCAGTATCTCTCTCTCTATAATATATAATGATATTTATTACCTGATATCGCAGTATCTCTCTCTATATATAATACATAATGATATTTATTACCTGATATCGCAGTATCTCTCTATATATATAATACATAACGATATTTATTACCTTATATTGCAGTATCTCTCTCTATATATAATATATAATGATATTTATTACCCGATATCGCAGTATCTCTCTCTATATAATATATAATGATATTTATTACCTGATATCACAGTCTCTCTCTCTATATATAATATATAATGATATTTATTACCTGATATCGCAGTCTCTCTCTCTCTATATATATAATATATAATGATATTTATTACCGGATATCACAGTATCTCGCTCTATATATAATGATATTTATTACCTGATATCACAGTCTCTCTCTCTCTATATATATAATATATAATGATATTTATTACCGGATATCACAGTCTCTCTCTCTATCTATATATAATATATAATGATATTTATTACCTGATATCACAGTATCTCTCTCTATATAATATATGATATTTATTACCTGATATCGCAGTCTCTCTCTATATATAATATATAATGATATTTATTACCTGATATCACAGTATCTCTCTCTATATATAATATATAATGATATTTATTACCTGATATCACAGTATATCTCTCTATATATAATATATAATGATATTTATTACCTGATATCACAGTATCTCTCTCTATATAATATATGATATTTATTACCTGATATCACAGTATCTCTCTCTATATAATATATGATATTTATTACCTGATATCGCAGTCTCTCTCTATATATAATATATAATGATATTTATTACCTGATATCACAGTCTCTCTCTCTATATATAATATATAATGATATTTATTACCTGATATCGCAGTCTCTCTCTCTATATAATGATATTTATTACCCTGTTTTCCCGAAAATACACCCTACCCCGAAAATAAGCCCTAGCTGGATTATCGGGGTGGGCTGCAATATAAGCCCTACCCCGAAAATAAGACCTAGGCAGGGCCGGCAGCTGCCGGCCCTTTAAATATATAATATATAATGATATTTATTACCTGATATCACAGTATCTCTCTCTATATATAATATATAATGATATTTATTACCTGATATCACAGTATCTCTCTCTATATATAATATATAATGATATTTATTACCTGATATCGCAGTCTCTCTCTCTATATATAATATATAATGATATTTATTACCTGATATCGCAGTATCTCTCTATATATAATATATAATGATATTTATTACCTGATATCGCAGTATCTCTCTCTATATATAATATATAATGATATTTATTACCTGATATCGCAGTCTCTCTCTCTATATATAATATATAATGATATTTATTACCTGATATCGCAGTATCTCTCTCTATATATAATATATAATGATATTTATTACCTGATATCGCAGTATCTCTCTCTATATATAATATATAATGATATTTATTACCTGATATCGCAGTATCTCTCTCTCTATATATAATATATAATGATATTTATTACCTGATATCGCAGTATCTCTCTCTATATATAATATATAATGATATTTATTACCTGATATCACAGTATCTCTCTCTATATATATAATGATATTTATTACCTGATATCGCAGTATCTCTCTCTATATATAATATATAATGATATTTATTACCTGATATCACAGTATCTCTCTCTATATATATATAATGATATTTATTACCTGATATCGCAGTCTCTCTCTCTATATATAATATATAATGATATTTATTACCTGATATCACAGTCTCTCTCTCTATATATAATATATAATGATATTTATTACCTGATATCGCAGTATCTCTCTCTCTATATATAATATATAATGATATTTATTACCTGATATCGCAGTCTCTCTCTCTATATATAATATATAATGATATTTATTACCTGATATCACAGTCTCTCTCTCTATATATAATATATAATGATATTTATTACCTGATATCGCAGTCTTTCTATATATATAATATATAATGATATTTATTACCTGATATCGCAGTATCTCTCTCTCTATATATAATATATAATGATATTTATTACCTGATATCACAGTATCTCTCTCTCTATATATAATGATATTTATTACCTGATATCACAGTCTCTCTCTCTATATATAATATATAATGATATTTATTACCTGATATCGCAGTCTCTCTCTCTATATATAATATATAATGATATTTATTACCTGATATCGCAGTCTTTCTATATATATAATATATAATGATATTTATTACCTGATATCGCAGTATCTCTCTCTCTATATATAATATATAATGATATTTATTACCTGATATCACAGTATCTCTCTCTCTATATATAATATATAATGATATTTATTACCTGATATCACAGTCTCTCTCTCTATATATAATATATAATGATATTTATTACCTGATATCGCAGTCTCTCTCTCTATATATAATATATAATGATATTTATTACCTGATATCGCAGTCTCTCTCTATATATAATATATAATGATATTTATTACCTGATATCGCAGTATCTCTCTCTCTATATATAATATATAATGATATTTATTACCTGTTATCGCAGTATCTCTCTATATATAATATATAATGATATTTATTACCTGATATCGCAGTCTCTCTCTATATATAATATATAATGATATTTATTACCTGATATCGCAGTCTCTCTCTATATATAATATATAATGATATTTATTACCTGATATCGCAGTATCTCTCTCTCTATATATAATATATAATGATATTTATTACCTGATATCGCAGTATCTCTCTCTCTATATATATAATATATAATGATATTTATTACCTGATATCACAGTCTCTCTCTCTATATATAATGATATTTATTACCTGATATCACAGTCTCTCTCTCTATATATAATGATATTTATTACCTGATATCGCAGTATCTCTCTCTATATATAATATAATGATATTTATTACCTGATATCGCAGTATCTCTCTCTATATATAATATAATGATATTTATTACCTGATATCACAGTCTCTCTCTCTATATATAATATATAATGATAGTTATTACCTGATATCGCAGTATCTCTCTCTATATATAATATATAATGATAGTTATTACCTGATATCGCAGTATCTCTCTCTATATATAATATAATGATATTTATTACCTGATATCGCAGTCTCTCTCTCTATATATAATATATAATGATAGTTATTACCTGATATCGCAGTATCTCTCTCTCTCTCTATATAATATATAATGATATTTTTTACCTGATATCACAGTCTCTCTCTCTCTCTATATATAATATAATGATATTTATTACCTGATATCACAGTCTCTCTCTCTATATATAATATATAATGATATTTATTACGGGATATCGCAGTCTCTCTCTATATATAATATATAATGATATTTATTACCTGATATCGCAGTATCTCTCTCTATATATAATATATAATGATATTTATTACCTGATATCGCAGTATCTCTCTCTATATATAATATAATGATATTTATTACCTGATATCACAGTCTCTCTCTCTATATATAATATATAATGATAGTTATTACCCGATATCGCAGTATCTCTCTCTATATATAATATATAATGATATTTATTACCTGATATCGCAGTATCTCTCTCTATATATAATATATAATGATATTTATTACCTGATATCGCAGTCTCTCTCTCTATATATAATATATAATGATATTTATTACCTGATATAGCAGTATCTCTCTCTATATATAATATATAATGATATTTATTACCTGATATAGCAGTATCTCTCTCTATATATATAATATATAATGATATTTATTACCTGATATCGCAGTCTCTCTCTATATATAATATATAATAATTTTTATTACCGGGTTTCGCAGTTTTTATTTCTTAATCCAGACTCTTCACGAGTAGTTTCTACTTCCGGTTGCACTAGATGACATAAGGTGACGGATTTCCGGTTCCGGTGTGCTAGCTGTTCTCCAGCTGGTTCCGCTTCCGGTTGGCACCTCCAACAACATGGTTGAACGTTTTAACACTTCCTGTGCCATGCCTCACCGGAAGTCACGTGGGTAGGACATTCTGACTGGTAGGGGAATGTGATGGAACACTGAGTTAGCAGCGGGGAGTCACGTGTCCCAGTGTGTGTCTGCTTAATGTGCTACTGTATCTAATGTGTGTTCTAATCCCATTCATTATTATATTTATTATTATTAAATTATAGAATTATTCATGTTCTGGTATAATGTGACACAGTTATATCACTAGGACATTTTTATTGATAGAAATGCTATTATCATATAGTAAAGGATATAATCTGTATCTTTATATAATTATTTTATCAGGTCATCCTTCATTTATAGAGTCCGTTAATCTGATAAGAAAATATATCTGACCGTTTAATTTATATAATTTAATAAATGTTTTATACGTAGTAACGTGTTTGTATTATTTAGGTATAAATGTATTAAAGGAAGAGACGACGAGCCGTAGTTATCTACGTAGAAATGGGTCTTCCCATACAGCAGTGTGAGCTGGAAGGCAGGTAAGATGTCAAACTGATCTAAAATGGTTAAAGTGCTTACAATGGTGGGTGCCACTACTTCCACTGGGTAAAAGTATTAGTTACCGTTTCGTTCACATGTATTATACAATTATTATTTTTTTACATTGCTGTTATGGCGTGCACCCATTGCAGAGCACCCTCATCGGTGTAGTTAGCACCCTCACTGTCCCAGACAGCACCCATTGTAGAGTACCCTCACCACATTGCAGAGCATCCTCACTGGTACAGACAGCACCTAGTGCAGGGCACCCTGATGGGCACAGACATCACCCAGTGCAAGGTATTCCTGTGCACAGACATTGCAGGGGCACCCATTGCAGGGCACCCTCATTGGCACAGACATTACTTGGTGCAGGACAGCACTCAATGAACGGTATTCCTTGGCAGAGCAGACTTCATTACTGGCATCCTGATGGGCACACAGAGCACCCAATACAAGGTATTTATTTAAACACACAACACTCCGTGTACTATGCACCTCAGCACCCAATGCAGGGCTCCCCAATGGACACACAGCACCCACGGAGGTCCGAAGCTCTTACCCATTATCCCAGACACAATGTTTTTACTTTAATAATGACTGTTAATAATAAAGTCGCTATTTGCTTTTAGTAAAAGCTACAGTGGGTATGGTGTCTGGAGTGTTTCTTTAATGGTTGTATCTGGTATATATTATTAGTATAAAGTAATCGTATAAATCTATTAATATTATTATGTGTTATCTTAGGACTTGGCAAATCCCAGGTTGCCATGGCGACAACAAATTTTGTCCAGGTGCATGGGATTTGTCAGCCCGTTCCCCCTCTTCTTGTTTCTCTATCCCTGTGTAGATCACTGTGCGTCGGTGTACCGGAAGGAATTGAAGGGAACTGTATTTACTTCCTCCAGACGCTGAGGCCATGCAGGGAAATGGCAATCCGGCATGGCCCGTGCCCAATATCTGTGTGGATTCAGTGTCAGGAGGATGTAATTACAGTTCTCTTCCTCCTCCTGGTACACAGAGAGCTGCATGGAGCTGGAGAGACAGGAGGGGGCAGTCTAGTCCAGCGGCAGCCCACTCCCATCGGCCGCAGCAATCCCCACTAACATAATGTCTCCTGCTGCTACAGAGTCCCACTGGAAACCAGGGAAGCCACAAAAGAAAACATATTTTAGATATAAAAATGAGAAAAGGAAAGTAAAACAAGTGTTTAGTAGAATAAAAGCAATAGAAGGAATGTATGTAGAAGAGGATAAAGGTCTAGCTGACTGCCTCAATGAATATTTTTGTTAAGTATTTACAGATCAAAATGAAGGAAAGGGACCTCAGTTAGGAAAGAAAACAAATGAGTCATTTATTACACGTGAGTTTACAGAGCAAAAGGTTTTATATCAGCTGTCTAAAGTAAATACAAATAGGTATTTGGGGTCTGATGGCCTGAACCTAAAGTTATTAAAATAATTTAGTGGTGTACTAGTAAAACCATTAACAGATTTATTTAACCAATCATTGTTAACAGGAGTAGTCCCAGAAGATTGGAAGTTAGCGAATGTTGTGCCCATTTACAAGAAAGGTAATAGGGAGGAGTCGGGCAACTATAGGCCAGTAAGCCTTACTTCAGTAGTGGGGAAAGTGATGGAAACCATGTTAAAGGATAGGATTGATGAACATCTAAAAACACATGGATTTCAAGATCAGAGACAACATGGGTTTACTTCAGGGAGATCATGCCAAACTAATCTTATTGATTTTTTTGATTGGGTAACTAAAATTATAGATCAGGGTGGTGCAGTAGACATTGCTTACCTAGATTTCAGTAAGGCTTTTGACACTGTTGCACATAGAAGGCTTATCAATAAACTGCAGTCTTTAAGTTTGGATTCCAATATTGTTGAATGGGTAAGGCAGTGGCTGAGTGACAGGCAACAGAGGCTTGTAGTTAATGGAATATATTCGAAGCTTGGACTTGTCACCAGTGGGGTACCTCAGGGATCTGTACTTGGACCCATTCTCTTTAATATTTTTATTAGTGATATTGCAGAAGGTCTTGATGGTAAGGTATGTCTTTTTGCTGATGATACTAAGATATGTAACAGGGTTGATGTTCCAGGAGGGATAAGCCAAATGACAAATGATTTAGGTAAACTAGAAAAATGGTCAGAGTTGTGGCAACTGACATTTAATGTGGATAAGTGCAAGATAATGCTAGGGATCGACCGATTATCGGTTTTACCGATATTATCGGCCGATATTCGGTATTTTTGGCAATATCGGTATCGGCCAATATAGATACCGATATTGCCGATAATACCTCCCAGGACCGCCGTGCCCATTACAAGCCCGGCGGTCCTGGGGGGGCCAGCAGCAAGCTGTTACTTACCTTTCCTGCAGCTCCTCCAGCTCCCCTGTGTAAATCTCGCGAGACCCGTGACCGCCAGAGCGTCGCCACGTGTTACCATGGCAATGCTCCATGCGGCATTCAGGCAACGAGATTTACACAGTGAGCTGGAGGAGCTGCAGGGAAGGTAAGTAACAGCTTGCTGCGGCCCCTCCACTGCTCAGCCCATACCACTGGACCACCAGGGATTGCTATAGCCCCCCTCCCTGGCCAGGCAACAAGCAGGGAGGGGGAAAAAAACAAACAAACATAAATATTAAAAATTAAAATAAAAAATGGTCCCTCCCCCCATTTTACACAAATTACATCCATTCAGCAACATACACTACACACTGCATTCACTTTACATACCACAGACTGCGTTCACGTTACACACCACACCCTACATTCACTATACACACACTACACAAACACACACTCTGCATTCATTATATACACACTACACAAACACACACAGCTCCCCTGTCTAAACACACTGCATCCACTACACGTGGCATGTATATTTTGTACATTTAGCTTTAGAAATAGTTTATTTTTTCAAAATGGTAAATGTACAGAATATCGAAAAGTTATCGGCTATCAGCCTGAAAGTTCACAGATTATCGGTATCTGCTCTGAAAAAATCAATATCGGTTGATCCCTAGATAATGCATCTTGGACGTAAAAAGGGCAGAGTACAGAATATTTGATAGTCCTAACCTCAACATCTGAGGAAAGGCATTTAGGGTGATTATTTCTGATGACTTAAAGGTAGGCAGACAATGTAATAGAGCAGCAGGAAATGCTAGCATAATGCTTGGTTGTATAGGGAGAAGTATTAGCAGTAGAAAGAAGGAAGTGCTCATGCCATTGTACAGAGAACACTGGTGAGACCTCACTTGGAGTATTGTACACAGTACTGGAGACCGTATCTTCAGAAGGATATTGATACCTTAGAGAGGGTTCAGAGAAGGGCTACTAAACTGGTTCATGGATTGCAGGATAAAACTTACCAGGAAAGGTTAAAGGATCTTAACATGTATAGCTTGGAGGAAAGACGAGACAGGGGGGATATGATAGAAACATTTAAATACATAAAGAGAATCAACACGTAAAGATGTCTAAGTGACCCAACACACAGAGTATAAATGATAATAAACATTTAAAGTATACCGGTCCTGAGAGTCCTTAGAGTGGCTGGGCTTTACGTTTGATAGATAAAGAATGGTCAGGGACAAGCTGAGTCAGGGAAACCAGAAATGAGGACATCAAGGTACAATATAATCCATGTTATTCACGTCACCTGTTAGTGGTTTGAATGTTGTCGCTGATTATTGTTTATGTTCTGGATGTGTCCTATATATTCTACAACTTCACCTGTCCTGCATTCTGTTCTGAATTGATAGTGTATAGTTCCTCAAGCCACACTCCACCTGCAACAATCTGAACTTACACACCACACAGTGTTCCAATAACCCTCCCAGCCTGAATGTCACACGTTAATGGTGCCACAAGTGTTTCAACAAGATATTCCAGCTATTCCGGCTCTTGGCTTGGGTTCCTTGTTGCCATGTACAATGCATATCCTCCATGATATATCAGAGTGCTATCTATGGACAAGGTGTCTGTCCTCTCTCAGTTCTATTTTTTTGTGTGTGTATTTTTTCCATGGTTTTAGTTATAGGAGTTTTAGAATGTATGTACACTGTGACATTTTTCACTATGATTGATAAGACATGCACCTGACATGGTTTTTTTAAAAACCAGAGACTCTCGAATCATTGCTCCTTTGCTCCAGAACTTTTCTACCTGCTATCCAACTTTTCCACCTTCTCTCGTTCTCTTGTTTTCCCAGTCACTTGTCTGCTGACTTCAGGTTACCTGACGTTCTTTCCTGATCCTATAGAATGAAAGCTCGATTGAGCAGGGTCCTCTTCAACCTATTGTTCCCGTAAGTTTATTTGTAATTGTCTTATTTATAGTTAAATCCCCTCTCATAACATTGTAAAGCGCTACGGAATCTGTTGGCGCTATATAAATGGCAATAATAATTATTATGACAGAGATGCCTGCCTTGAGGGTTTAGATAAGGGGTGCCAAAAAGTTAGATTCCTAGGTGTCGTAGAACTACAACTCCCATGATGCTTTGCATGCCTTTAGAACAGCAAAGCATCATGGAAGCTGTAGTTTTCAATTATCTGGGGATCTACCTTTTGGGCACCGCTGGTTTAGATTGCATGAACACATCTTTGGATGGTCATTCCCCTGGTACTTTGCTGCTACTTCTCATGGTCCCTCACCTGGTACATTGTCTGATTACTCTATGATGGCTCTCTTGATACCGCTGGTTCCTCTTCACCTGGTATTGTATTTAGTAAACACCTTTACACATTTCAAGCCTCTGTACTGCTGTCCTTGTAAACTGCTTTCATTCGCAGACTCCAGCAATAATGACCTTTACAGGCGTGAGACATCCTGTTCTTGTTCTATTACGTCTGATGTCCTTAAAAATGTGATAGCCTGGACTTCGAGCATTCAAGGAGCCTGAGTTTAAGCTGCAGTCAGAGATGCTTTAAAATATGATTATTCATTGTGGCCAACGCCAACTTTCTCTCTTCTTACCGCTTTCATTTACATTTTCCTACTTTTCTATGTACTGTTTTTATGTAACGTGTTCTGTGTTTGTGAACTGACGCTTATGAGATAGCCTTACCATAGGTAATACTATTTATAATTTACATCATATCCCTAAGTCTCCCCATGTTAATTACATCAACCCCAACAGTGCAGTAAAATGGATTGTTTTTTTGTTTTTTTTTGTAATTGAACATTTTAATAATATCATTTTAGAGATCTCCTTTTCCTCAAAATTAAATTGTGTAATAGCCTCTCAAAATGGGAATTTATTGACAAAATAAGAAAAAAATACATAAAAGGTTTACACAAATTACATGTACAGGTAAACATGATTAATAATAACTGCCATTGTCTATCGCATATTTACACTGAGGACTTTCCTCCCACCTTTATCTTACACAGTCTAGTATAAATAAAATAGAGTGCCTTGGGTATAAAACATTGGATTATCACATTACTTATAGTCTGAGACCACAATCTTCCATATGACCATGCGCAAGGTTGCTGGTTCATAACATTTTTGTTTTATAGAGATCCAGATTACTGCAGTAGGTTTGCAACCCATTCTTTCATTGGAAAAATAAATCACCAACCCATTCTTCAACTGTAATGTAATATATTTGAAAACCATTCCGCTAAAAAAAAAACCTGTATTGGACTCTTCTGTGTCCGAGAGCTCTTTAATCTGGGCACCGCTGTTACAGCAAAAATGCGTTGTGGGCAGTTGCATGGGTTGTGACCATTGGGGATCGAACTTTGGATTCTCACCCAGGAGTTTAGAAGCAATGTTTTAGATATAACAATACAGTAACCAGATAAAACATGACTTTGACTGCCCCACGAATGTATGTGTGCATACTGATGGGTATCTTAACATTCATGAAACTCTGTGACCTTGCGTTACAATGTACCTCGGCGACTTTTCGCTATGTCTGTAATGTGCACTCAATGATTTCTTTATATTTAAGATACCAAGCTACGATGTACCATGGGTTTTTGGGTGCAGAGTTCCTGCTGTGCACACAGAGAGTTTGATTACGTACGTGTTAATATTTCATACCAAGTTACAAAGTACCATGGTCGAAGTGTGATCATACAGGCACGTCATTAAAATGATATATTTCGGCCAGGCTACACTATTCTAATTTAATGCCACATATTGCTCATCTCTTTCAAAAGCTTCTTCTTGTCAGCTTCATTCCCATGTTCCTAAAATGAAACTTTGGCTATTTAAACTTAATCTGCTGATGCTACATATACCTTTCTTTTCCCTGTCGTTAAGACGTGTTCTGGTACAAGTGATATATCAAACATCCCCAGGAAAATAAACATACCATAAGGTGCCGATCCCCAAACTCCATACTACCAGTCTGTATCATCAGTACTGATGTCTTTCTTCCCCTGCATACTGTTAGAAACAGGTCTCCTTTCTATACTTCTTCATACCTTTAAACACATACACTCTCTTATATTCCATATAATAAGATGCATATCCCCCAATTACCTTCCATACCGTCAGATGCATATCCCCCTCTTACATTTCATACCGTCAGATGCATATCCCCCTCTTACATTTCATACCGTCAGATGTAAGAGAGGGAAATGCATTTCATACCGTCAGATGTAAGAGAGGGAAATGCATTTCATACCGTCAGATGCATATCCCTCTCTGACATTTCATACCGTCAGATGCATATCCCCTCCTACATTTCATACCGTCAGATGCATATCCCTCTCTGACATTTCATACCGTCAGATGCATATCCCCTCCTACATTTCATACCGTCAGATGCATATCCCCCTTACCTTCCATACCACTGGAAATAGATCCTGTTGTTACTTTCTATACCATAAGGAGCGAATTCTCACTTACATTCTATACCTTTTAAAGGGGATCCCTCTCTTACATGCCATGTCCTGCACCCCCTCTTCCATATCATGCCAACGGATGTCTTCCAAATGCACAGAAGCAGAGCTTGCTCTGTTTGTGCAACATATGTACACATATGTAATGATAACTTTATGTAATGATAACTTTCCCTAGACTTTAAGATTAGAGAATGTGCCCAATAAATCTTTTTCGTCACCTCTGCTTTTAGTGACCCTAACTGATGACAAGGAGCTAAATAATCACGTACTAGTACCATGTATAAGTAAACTGACCGCAGAATACATATCTTCCCATGGAGTGGCTGTTCCCTACATACAATACACAATTTAAACACACAACGAATGACAGTTACATGTGGCGAGTCCATTCATTGCACGATCAATACAAATAACACTGGCATTTGTTAGGACAAATGTAAATACTTTCAAAGTGCAGTTTCATTGAGCCTCTAAGAGGATAAGAGCAGTTTTTTTATGGTTCGGTCCCATCTGAATATTGTTAAAATAATAAGAAACTAAATAGGAGAAAAGTGCAAACTGGCAAATTGCTTTTTCTCATTAAAATGTTAAAATTGTGGCCTATTGGATTGTTCCCTTTTTATATCCAGTAACGATAGTCTATTTCGTATCACAAAGTCTGACTTCATAAACCATTTACTGTATCTTCCTTGTTAGCCGGGCTTTCCACCTCTCATCTGACACAAATCATGACTTTGCCATTGGTTCCAAGGTGTTTCCTTTAACATTGATTTTCCTTAATGCCTGGGACTCCGGGGCATGAAGTAAAGGATGGGTTAGGCTCACCTGAGCTGTGCTGAAAGATGATATTCTGCCACTTCCTCCAATCTGAATGTTAACGGTGGTGGAATAACTTGCCTTTAAGGTGCCTTTGTCTTTGGTATCAGGGGCTTCAAACTTTTCAGCATTGTTACAATGTGACATTTCTTTCAGAGATTCTTCTTGGCGGGAGGGTAAAGTGGTTGCATCCAGAGACCCCATTCTTTTCAGATAATGGTCTGATTCATCACCAAGAGATTTTGAGGATCTCATTAAGATTAATGGTTTTATATCAGATTTCTTTTGATAAGTGGTTATCTTCTGGGCTTTAAGAGGTCCATACTTTGAGCGTAGCTCGCGTACATCCGGCCACTGAATGCTGGTTAGTTCATGGGAACTAATACCACTTGTGTGTGAATGTACTTCAGGGATCAGGAATGAAGGTGACTGGTTGATGCAGCCTGACTGGCTATCTTCATCTGCAGACCAACTCGGTGAATGTAGTGCACTCCTTTGGCAACCAGTTTCATCTTCTCCACTGTGGATGCTGTTCCCCCGGGATCTCCGGGTATGAAGAGGAAAGCCATAGGGCTCAGACTGAGGACTAGAAAATGAGAGTAGAGCAGGAGGGCTTGTGCATGTTGGAGTAGAATTAGCTGATGATGAGGATGATCTTTCAATATGGCTAAAACAGAGAGGAGTAAATGAGCAAGGTCTAGACCTTGAGAAGGAAGGAATTCGAGGAGACTTTGGCGTTGTTGTGCTATAATGGGGAGGAGGTGAAAACATTCGGTTACGTATTGTCTGTGGGGACTGGACTCGTGAATTTGGCTCAGATGCTGTGGAAGTGGGGGCTGGTTTCATTGATGAAGGACAAGGAAAGGCAATGAGAACAGCATTGCCAGGAGACCAAGAGACAGGATTATCCAGCAGTTTGCTTTCCTTCTCCCCAAAATATCTTTGCTGGCAAGTTGAAGACAAAGTAGTTGGGCTATTTATATCCTTACATCTGGTAAGCGTTTGTGTTGATTTGGTGTCACCTTGTTTCTGGTCTTCTTCCTCTTTTGTGTCCAGCATAAGTTTACTTTTCAAAGCTCTGGGCTTGTTCTCATTTCCTGGTAAAGTAAAAGGAGCTAGCTGTGCATATGGTGATGAATCAGTGATCTTTATCTGTGCTTCGTGTCTTGGTGGAGTCTGCAGCTCTACATCTGAGCTCTTTGACTTTGTCATTGGTGCCTTCTTTGTAAGACATTGGCCTTGATGGGTTTCTGGCAAATACTTAGATAATGCTATGGCACTAGACAATTTCCTTTGAAAAGCAAAAGGTATGAGGATTTTTGGTGTAGCTCCAAATTCAGGTTTCTGTTTGGTATGATGTAATGGTGTCTGAAGGCTGTCCTGGAAATCCTCAGCAGTTGCAGTCTTGCTCTTGAAAGAGGATGAGCGTGCCGCCAGATTCAGTTTTTTTGAGTTGGTTTCTTTTGATGGGATAGAAAATGAGGAGTCCAGTTGCAATCTCTGCATAACATCCACCACTGAAGGTGAGCATGTTTGCCTTTTTGGTTTAGCTGCAGTCATATGGCACATGTGAACACCCTGATCTTCAGAATGTAAACTTGAGATATTTTCTATGGCGTGCAGGTGTGGAGTCCTCCTTTCAGTGTTAGGCTGGTCATTGATAGAGGAACTATAATTTTCTGGACACTCTTCAAGGACCTTTGTTTGTGGTAGATTAGGAATCTCCTTTGTGTTTGGATTATCTGTTGTCTCTAGTTGCTTGTGTTCCTCAACATTCTTCTTCTTGAAGATGTTTTCAAACTTAGAATTAGAAGTCAATGTAGGTTCTGTCCCATCCAAATACAATTTTACTTCTGTGACATTAGCTTCTTCTTCATTATTATTGTTGGAGTTTTGATCTTCAGTAGGTGGTGGCCATAATGTACCATCATCTGGTATTGAAACATTGGCTGAATATAATTCCGTACATTGTTGACTGATTTCACCTGACACATCAGCAACTTCCTTATTCCCTTCAATGTATTCAGAAAATACTCCAGCATTACTGCCTTCTTTTACCTCTGTCAGTTGGTCTGTAGGCCCACAGATGTCAATCGTGTTATTTTCACAAGTAGACAGAATGCTGGTAGCCGGTAAACATTCAAGAACAGACACAGAAGTAATTGATGTGTTTTCAACGGCTACTGTCGTGCATTGTTGAACTGAACATTCCGCACTTTCAATATGCTTACTTGGTATTTCGGAAAGATTGTTTAAATATGGTTTCTCTGACCCACAGCCCAAAGGTACCTCGTCTCTTGATTTATCAGCTTCTGCAGTTCGCTCACATTTTGAAGGTTCAGCCATAGAGGTCTCTATTCCTATGTCCTCTTTGGACAGGTCTGACGAATTCTCACGGGGGGCTGTCAAAAGAAGACCATTCTCTTGAACACACTTAATATGTAGAAGTGTCTCACTGACCAATACATGACCATACTGCTGAGGCTCTGTGAAGAAAAAAAATGTCCATAATTATAAAAGCTTTATTTATACACAAGGATGCACATGGCATTTTACGTATTAAGTCCCCTGATATAGAGCTAATTATTATCATGGGATATTGGCTTACGTCTACCTCAAGCTGTATCAGTGTAAACCGGTGACTGTCTAGGAAACCTACAATGGTTTCTCTTTTGGTTTCTCTCAAACGTGTTTTAAACCAGCAGCATTGCATGTATTAGCTAATCTATGCTGTTTCCTTGGTTAGGATCAGATTTCTAAATTTGCTTTAAAATATTACGATTTGTTGATTCACTGCTTTGTTGTTTATTTAATTTACATATTTGCTTGTGATTTGTGTTATCGCTGTTTTAATATTCCCTATTATCTGTATACATTATATCTACTTTATTTCCTAATATATTTTTTTTTTTTGTCCTGATGGTTTACACAGCTATTGGGTAACACTCTGTTTCAGATGAAATTTTTATTTTTTTTATTTTTACAGTTATAGTCATTATTTCAGGGTCAAGTTTATTTCTTTGTTGCCTATCTTGTAAAATTTAGTGGCTTTTTTTGATGTTCTAAATTGCATAATATGCCAGTCTCGCCACGTTGCATTGGAGAAGCCTGGTTGCTCGCCTGTTGCCTTTGGATTATGGCCCCATGTTAAAAGCCTTCTTTTTCCCCTGCAGAAAAGGCTTATTCGTGCCTACCGAACTAACACACGAATGACTGGACCACCTGGGAGCTGGAGTGTGTCGGCAATTAATCTCCCAGAAGCTGCAGCTTAATTGACAAATGCTGGGTGGCCGCCATTCGTATACAGAACACGAGGTCGCGGCCATTTTAAACACGCGAATGCACAGCAGTGTTCGATGCCCAACTCATGGAACTGAAAACTTATACATTTTGGCGCGAACACCGCTGAAGCCGCTGACCTCCCTTCTTGTTCGGTAGACGTACACGAACGGCCCTATATTCGGTAGTTGTACCTGACTACACCATACCCCAGATAGGAATCCCATGGAGCTCATTCGTATGAGAACTGACTGTGAACACTTTGGCTCCACGGCGATTGGACTGTGTGCATAGGATCTGAGCACTATTCGGTACTTTGGTGCGCTCAGATCCTAGCTATCTGGGGACATGTTGAATGCCTGTAAAATGTTGTAAAATATAACAGTTCTGTATTTTTATGTCTTTTTGTTATTGTCATCTAAAATGGCGTTTAGGCTCTGTCCTGGGAGATAATTGAATTACTTCACAATTATCTCCCTGAGCAGAGCAGAGGGTGCTGGGTAAGAAAGGGGAATGGCTAAGTGTGTATCCTGTGATTGGTTGCTACAATGTCCTTGTCACAGTCTTCCATCTGGTCCCCTAGGGGAGTGTCCACCGGGTGGGAGACCTGCATAAATACTGGGCAGGTAGCCCTCATTAAACAGACCACTGCTTGACCCTCAACATGGAGCCTTGTCTCGTCTTTGGAGGGATTTACTGTATGCTGATAGAGACTGTTTGCTAGGAGTGTAAGCCGCTTGGGTGCTTTTCCTATTCGTCTGCTAGCAGCTGTTCGTGAGGTTCCAGTTCGAGAGTTTGGAGTGCTATTTTGTATCCAGTTCGGGAGTTTAGAGCATTCCCTTATATGCGGTTCGGATGTTTGGTGTTCTGCAGTAGCTGTGCCTGTATCTCTGGAAGGGGAAGATCTCCTAAACGGCGGTTTAACCCTTTTATGCTGAGTGTGCCGTAACAGCCAGTATCACAACCATCTTGTAAGACAGGGCTCGACAAATCACAGGTCACCATGGCGACTAGGATTTTAGTCCTGGCGCCTGGGATTTGTTAGCCCATACAGTCCCTGAGGTGGTTGGCCGCCTATGAGTGAAGGCGGGCGGCCGGCAGGCTCATAAAGAGCATGGGCATGCGGTCGGCCGCCCGCCCAGCTAAAGGGAGAGCATTTGCGGGAGGTCGGCCACCCAGCCAGCTGATGGAGAGCATGGGCATGTGGTCGGTTTTCCTGCTTCGGGAGAGAGTCCGGTGTGCGCACGTGCAGGAGGCTCCTAGAAGATTGTTGCAGATTGGCAGGCATGTGAGGGAGCTGTAACCTCTTTACTCTGCTCCCTCGCGCGTCATCCAGTGATGCTGGGAGCTGGAATATGACGTCATTCCAGCCCCGGCATCACTAAACAGCGCTCTATGATGCAGAGCAGGGAGATGACTGACGCCCCACTAGACCCCAGGGAAAGCCGAACCACTCCAGTTCCAGGTGGGGAGGCTGGGTGGTCACCTTAATGTGTGTTGTTATTGCAGTGACTGAGAATGTAAGTATGTGTGCCAGTCAATGAGTGAGAGTATGTGTGTGTCAGTGAGTGTGTGTTTAGGTGACCGGTCCCCCTCCAATCACACGGGTAAAGGGTTTTTAATCACCTTTTTCCTTGATGATCTCAGCCAATCCAATGCTTTCCCATAGGAAAACATTGGGAGGCTATTCTGCATGTGTTTGGCACGGCATGGCGTTTTGAATCAGCATCTCCTCATAGAGATGAATTGAATTAATGTATTTCTATGGGGAACATTCAGCACCTCCATGCAGCACTGACCCAGGATGCACTCTAGAGGCCCTCTGAGTGACTTTCACTAGAAGTGTTACTAGGCAACAATGTAAATACTGCCTTTTTTCTGAAAAGGCAGGTTTTACATTGAAAATTGTGGAGGGACAGGTTATAGACACGAGAACAACTACATTAAGCAGTAGTGGTACTGGTGATTATAGTGTATTTTTGACATTGAAAAACCTGGCTCCTAACTTTTTTTTTTTTTTTGCTGACTCCTAGATTTGAAGCAAATTTGTCAAGCCCTGTTGTAAGAAGCATGTTTATATTTCATAATAATTTTAACCATTTGGGTATCTGTCAAGCGGTATAATGCACTGTTCACTGGTCTAAATATTCAGTATTTTCTCCAAAGGAAAAAAAATTATGCAAGTTTATTTTTTTTTTTTTTGTATATATATTATGATGCAATGTTGTAGTGGGAGTGATTTTATTTGTACATTTTATAACCTAGTATATTCCTTCATTAATGGTTTACTCACGAGATGGCCAAACAGCAATAAAATGATCACTGTCGGGAGTGTAGCCATTTTCAAATGTCTCTACTCACCTGCCATGTTTCTTCCTCTTGGTCTGTCCTCAATGACTTGAGGTAGACTTCTCGTTATTGCCTTATTCAGCATCACTGGCCTCTTGTCACCATTTCTTTTTTGAGTCTTCATTCTGCTGATCTTCTCACTGTACATCTTGGCCAGCAGCTGTACCTTGTTAATGATCTTCTCCGAGTTTTCAATCAGGCAAATATCCTCTGTTTCATATAGGCCCAGACTAGAAGGACAGAATGCAATTTTGTTGTCCGCTTCCAAATTTTGGTGAGAATTCTGTTTTGTAACTTTTAATTCTGTGTTGGTTTTCTTCTGCTCCTTTTTGACTTCTTTCACAGAATCTTCTTTCAGTACCTGGGCTCCAAATTCAAGGTCGGACTCCTCAACAATGACTAGCACATTGTCTTGATCTTCATGTCTACCATGCCTTTTTAGGACTCCATAGCTTTCTGGATTGTTTGGTTTCTCCTTTTCTTTCCAGGCTTTTCGGATCTCTGCACAGGATTTGTACTCTGAATCTTGCTCTAAAGGAAGCTTTACAGAACTGGTGTTTCCCAGAAGGGTTTTGGGTCGGTCACACTCCTTATCTATACATGACTGTAGTTTCCTTGGTGGACTGGTCTGCTTACTATTGATGGTACAGCCATTGCTCTCACATAAACTCCTTTCCCTGTCTTTTTTTACCTCCTGCTGTAGGATGTAATTGAATCTCAAAATTGAGTCCTTCACTACCCCAGTTGGGATGTAGCAGATGCTGTCCTCCTTACCCAGAAACGAAGCCCCAGCCTCTGCTGTTTCATAGTAATGTTTGATTCTTTCAATCAGCAAACGGTCATCGTGGGTCAGGGTGGAGTCTCTCTTGACCTTCACACATTTTTCAATCTGACCTTCGTTTGCCTTTTCCAGATCTCCTCGCTCAGTTTTGCCATTCTCCTTAGTTTCTGTTTTATTCTGCCCTTCTTTACTCTTAATGTGTGTTATGTCTTCCACAACACAAGGAGAGAGTTCCTCTTGTAATTCACTGTGTTTGGGAGCCTCTACTACGCAATTTGTAGAATCCTCTTCCTCTAATACATGCAGAGGACATTCCTTGCTGGCATTCTTTTTCTTCCCTTCCTCTGAGCAATAACTGGTGGAATGTGATTGGCATGTCGGAGATTCCACACAACCTTCTCCTGTGGCTGTGTGCCCTGGGCAATCTTCTGAGTTTGTGTCAACCACACGAGTATCCGGTAATTCATCTCCAGTTTCCTCTAATGGCGCAGAGTCTTTATTATTTGCTTCAATCAGATCTTCCTGTGGTCCAATCATCTTTGGTTCAGTAGTAAGCTGGTTACAGATAATAGAAATTAAATATTAATTATAAAATTATAGAGCTATGTTCATTGTTAAAAGCTATATATTGTTAACATTCCTAGAGATTAAGCACATAGACCACGTATAAACCTCAAAATTATTGATATTACAGATGCTTTGACTTATAATTCTATTGCTGATTGTATGTCCAGGTCTTTGAAGCCGCCATTTTTACCTGCTCCTCTGCTTCTGGCAGAACTGTCTGCTTCTGTGGATCATCATTGCAATTCTCCATGTCTTTCACATCAGACCGCAATCCCTTCTGGTTGAGCAATTCCATGATTTCTTCTGTGATAGAGAGGCTGCCAAACAAGGCATCTTCTGGCAAACAGAAAGAGGATTCCTCTAGGGTCTCCTCACAGACTTCGCCTGCTGTCTCCAGGATGCTGGACTCCAAGGTACAGACACTGTCAGAAGACTTGAGAGAGCCAGAGGAAGGAAAAAGCTCTCCTTCACTGCCCGCATGCTGTAGAGGAAAGCATTGGGCGTGAGATAATGGTTTACTAAAACCCGATGTAGAATACGACTTTGCTGTCACACGACATGCCTTATACTATGCAAAAAACATGGGAAAACAGATTCATTGTCACACGATAAACCAATATGGGGATTGTTGTATGCATAGAACAGGCCCAATCTTTTTCCCTCTTGCTTGATCACCTTGCAGTGTGTATGGAACATGCATTAAATGGATTCATGCCCAATAGGTGGAACTAGAGCTTTATCTCTGGCCTCCAACCTGAATCCCTGCCTTGTCATTGCTTGTGAGTGACTGCATACATTATTCTGAGTGCTGGTGCAAGTTCTAGCACTTACTGTCCTCTCCCGGTGTTTTTGTGCCTGACATGGTGGGGAGAGGCTATTCTAGGCAGAATCTTTTCCTTTTCTGTAGTAACTGAGGATATACTCTATTTAAGAAACATGCTGTTTGTACTGGTTATTCGTTACAGTGAGAGATCATCATCTTTATTCATAATCTAATCAGGTCCCCTCTACAAATGACATCTAAAGATCCATGTTACCATTGCTACTCGTTGGCATTGTGGGTTTGCATTGCTAAGGTCAGTGTGCAGCCTGCGAGTAGCTTTACCAACATGTTCACTGTTCACCACCCCAGAGACAAATTCATTTGAACGTCTGCTTCTATCCCAGATCCATAAAAATGGATCATTGTGTGTGTTTCATCTGATGAGCTTTATATGAACAAAAAAACAATAATCCTGATTTAGCCTAAATGCATGCCAACATGCGACATTCAGTCTGAAAAATCCTGCAGCCAAAATGAATGAATGAAACTTGCCTTCAATGGTGCTCCACCTGGAAAACAAACCAACAGATATAGTGTTATAATGACTGGGCAAGTGTGAGGGTCATGAGACTAGAGCATAGCGAGAGGTACAATATAACCGTACAGATCATATGGAGAGGGACGCTATAACGTACAGATCATATGGAGAGGGACGCTATAACTGTACAGATCATATGGGGAGGTACGCTATAACCGTACAGATCATATGGGGAGGTACGCTATAACCGTACAGATCATATGGAGAGGTACGCTATAACCGTACAGATCATATGGAGAGGTACGCTGTAACCGTACAGATCATATGGAGAGGTACACTATAACCGTACAGATCATATGGAGAGGTACGCTATAACCGTACAGATCATATGGAGAGGTACGCTATAACCGTACAGATCATATGGAGAGGGATGCTATAACCGTACAGATCATATGGAGAGGGACGCTATAACCGTACAGATCATATGGAGAGGGACGCTATAACCGTACAGATCATATGGAGAGGGACGCTATAACCGTACAGATCATATGGAGAGGTACGTTATAACCGTACAGATCATATGGAGAGGTACGTTGTAACCGTACAGATCATATGGAGAGGTACGTTGTAACCGTACAGATCATATGGAGAGGTACGTTGTAACCGTACAGATCATATGGGGAGGTACGCTGTAACCGTACAGATCATATGGGGAGGTACGCTGTAACCGTACAGATCATATGGAGAGGTACGCTAATCAGAATAGATGTGCTATTACTATGTGATTGTAGAGCAATGCTGCTGGTGTGCTATTTGATTGATTGTACAGCATTGCTGCAGAGGTACTAAGTGACCGTACTGAGCATTCACTTACCTCTATGTTCCAGTGTTTCCTGGATTTCCTTGGCTGGCTCTATTGGATAGGAAAGCAACATTTAGAAGTGAGTGGTCACTCAGTGAACCTGTCTACCTCTGTGTATGCTCACTCACCAGACAGTCTGCGTCCGCGGCGATGTGGGGAACTGCTGTTGAGACTCAATAAAGTGAATGATTTCTTAGTCCGCTGGGGACTGTACATGTACTGGGGTGGCTCTGTGAATGACATTTATGGAACCTTGAAATGTAGTGTTTTGACAGAGTGCAAGCCTAATATATAGAAAGTATAAAGGCAGTGAAGGGGTTAACCCTAAACAAAATGTAGTGGCAAAAAAAGGAAGAGAGAAACTGCCTAAAAAATATAGATATGCGTATAAAAAATAACCTTTAATAGTGAACGAGATACAAGAGTGGTTAATTGGCACATTCACTCTCGGTACATCTGAGTATTACATTACAGAGGCACCAGTGAAATTTGTGCAGAATTGTAAGATTTAAAAAAGAGACACACAACACTTCATTTAGTGAGGATGTCGTTAAAAAAAATATATATCAATTACATCCTATCAGTTGCATCCTACTATAGCATTGGTCTCATGTTACAGTTAATATAGGATATAGTGTTCCAATAAGTCAAGCTCTAACAGATATATATTGTCTGCAGCACTCTACAGAATAATCATATATATAGATTAGGAGGCGATTATAGTTAGGATATGCGTCCTTTGCTTAGGAGAGCACCTACTCTGGTTTGTTACTGATGTCACCCCAGTGATATTATGCCATAAAACACAGTGAAATAGCCAGAAAGAAATAGTTACTGTGCCTTCGAGGGCACCTACCAGATAGGAGAACTAACTGCAGGTAATGAAGCAAAGAAAGAGAGAGAGAAGAATAAATATGCATATATGTAAATGTCCTCCCAATTATATCTGTGCCTTCAAGGGCACCTCTCTAATATAAAGATAAATTAGCTAACGTTTAAATCGCGGTAGTTACAGTGAATACAATGTGTGGTCTGTCATAATCTAATGTCGCTACACTGAAAAGCTTGAAAGAATTAAGCCACAGAATTGGTATGCGGCTAAATCCTACACACCCTCCCAACATACACCACAAAGCTAATATAGATAATAATTCAATAGAGATGTCCAAAGATAATTGTTGCAGGTGCACTGGATAGAATGCTGGGAGAGATCGAAAGAAACCCCGACGCGCGTTTCGCCGGTAAGGCTTCATTTCCTGCAGTTAGTTCTCCTATCTGGTAGGTGCCCTCGAAGGCACAGTAACTATTTCTTTCTGGCTATTTCACTGTGTTTTATGGCATAATATCACTGGGGTGACATCAGTAACAAACCAGAGTAGGTGCTCTCCTAAGCAAAGGACGCATATCCTAACTATAATCGCCTCCTAATCTATATATATGATTATTCTGTAGAGTGCTGCAGACAATATATATCTGTTAGAGCTTGACTTATTGGAACACTATATCCTATATTAACTGTAACATGAGACCAATGCTATAGTAGGATGCAACTGATAGGATGTAATTGATATATATTTTTTTTAATGACATCCTCACTAAATGAAGTGTTGTGTGTCTCTTTTTTAAATCTTACAATTCTGCACAAATTTCACTGGTGCCTCTGTATGGTAATACTCAGATGTACCGAGAGTGAATGTGCCAATTAACCACTCTTGTATCTCGTTCACTATTAAAGGTTATTTTTTATACGCATATCTATATTTTTTAGGCAGTTTCTCTCTTCCTTTTCTTGAAATGTAGTGAGAACATGGAGGGTGCCCACCATAACATGGAGTATAACCTACTTACGCCGAACATTAACTCTCATTTCAGTGCCTGACTGTACTTTATCTCCTACCTCCATTTCTCTTCCAATCAGATCATATCTAGTGTAAAATTAAAGATTTAACGTGCACGCTATAATTTATTCACCAATTCTAATAAACTGGAGGCCAAACTACTCCATTCAGGCTAAAATGTGTCTGCAGCTGGGTTAGGGAATTCTGCCAAATCAGCACTTTGTGCCTACATTTTGGAATTCCATTCTCAAATTACTGCAGTTTGGAGATTGTACTGTGATGGAAAATTCAAGATGTCATAAAGATAGTATTATTCCTCCTTGATAAAAATGACATTATCATATTATGAGAAAGACTTTACGTACAAAAAGACCAAAGTCTCAATGGATAAACTCAAATCCTCACCTGATTGTCTTCGGCTCCGCGGAAAAGTCCACAAATCATCCATTCTGGGAGATTTTACTGGGTCTGGGAAGATTCGCAAATCTAGAGAATCTGTATTGGGTTAATGGGTATCATTATTACTGCAACGTTCGGAGAATACTCCCCTGCACACACACATTTACTGTGAGCCTCCTTCCCATGCATACACTCACTATAATTTGTTACTGTAGGACAGCTATTACCCAGTTTGTCTGTGTTTCACGGGTATAGTGCAATTTGAATGATAAACCTCTTTGTTAGTGAGATTTTCCCAGTTTCCATATAGAGTTTGCAATTTTGGCACTTTTTTGCTGTACATGCTGCACTGTAATTTCACACTTTGTCATTAAGTTCACTCATACAGATTGTATTTTGTGTTTTTAAATGAAAAATGTCTTTTTTATACTCTCTATATATAGCAAAACACTAATATGGATAGAAATTACAAGAAATGGCAAAAAAAAAAAAAAAAACAGTTCCCACACACTGCTCAAAATAATTTCTACAAAATTTGTTCAGTTAAAAATAAAATCTCAAAATAGATGGATTTGTCCTGATGCCGGGAATGCGTCCTACGTCTGCTAATCAAATAGGTTTTTTTTTTAGCAGTTTGCAGGCTATTTGTATGCAGTCCATCATTACTGGCATGGTATGATTAAAGGAACACTATAGTCACCTAAATTACTTTAGCTAAATAAAGTAGTTTTAGTGTATAGATCATTCCCCTGCAATTTCACTGCTCAATTCACTGCCATTTAGGAGTTAAATCACTTTGTTTCTGTTTATGCAGCCCTAGCCACACCTCCCCTGGCTATGATTGACAGAGCCTGCATGAAAAAAAAAACTGGTTTCACTTTCAAACAGATGTAATTTACCTTAAATAATTGTATCTCAATCTCTAAATTGAACTTTAATCACATACAGGAGGCTCTTGCAGGGTCTAGCAAGCTATTAACATAGCAGGGGATAAGAAAATCTTAATTAAACAGAACTTGCAATAAAGAAAGCCTAAATAGGGCTCTCTTTACAGGAAGTGTTTATGGAAGGCTGTGCATGTCACATGCAGGGAGGTGTGACTAGGGTTCATAAACAAAGGGATTTAACTCCTAAATGGCAGAGGATTGAGCAGTGAGGCTGCAGGGGCATGTTCTATACACCAAAACTGCTTCATTAAGCTAAAGTTGTTCAGGTGACTATAGTGTCCCTTTAATGAAGATTACCAAGCTGAACATGGCTACAATGTACATATTTATAGAGAGTAGATTCTTCTATTTTAGTTTTTGTGCTATTTTTATACATACACACCAATGGAGATAAATTGTGAATATTGGAATCTGGAACCTGGGTTCCGCCTGCACCCCCTGGGCTTTTTCACATGGTGTCACGGGTGATTACCCCAACTTACAGGATATGGGAAACCCACAAATGGAGGATCAAAAATGTACCAGGCTTTAGAGTTTCCGGTTCTTAATGTTAGGTAAAGACAAAGTCAGAAATTGCCCTGATCAGGATTATAGAAATACAGATATACAAATTAACAAGCCGGCTCAGGATTCCAGAAGTGCACAAAGTCAATAAACAAGCGAAGGTCAATATCAAAATTACAAGAAAGACTTGCTGCACGCAAGGTAGAAACTATGAAAGGGCATTGAATAAGGGCCTAAACAAGATATATATATAATTAGGCTTGTTATTCAAAGGAGGCTGAGGCAGGAGAAGAAATAGAGAGAGAAAAATCTAGATTGAGCCATTGATAGGGGAAATGCGTTTGGCTTTTAGACTTACTGAAATTTTCAACAGAGAGCAGTTGGAGAAATGACCTGGGCACAAACTCTCCAACACTGAATTGGGACTCTGGAACAAGACAGGAATCCTGACCTGTGCGGGACCCCCTGAAGGTTCTCTGAATAGGACAGCTATTCCCAGTGTTATCATACGCTGTATCCCTTACTATCGTGGGTATAAGACTTTCACAGCGCCTCTCGTGGGGAACCTTTCGCTGCTGTTTGTTGCTGACATTGATTTGTGCTGCTATATTGCTTTTTTATATGCATGTTTAATTTCAGATGTTTTGAAGATGATTAAATGTTTTATTGTGAGTTATGTTATATGCATTTGTGTGATTTTAACTTTAAAGATATTTATATAAATTAAAAACAGACTTATTTAATATTTTTATTTTCATGGTTGAGTATCTGCCTTCTCCCCTCTCCATAGATGATAGTCCTTCATATGTGCACTAAATGACTCAAAAGGTACTAGAACGGGCTCCCCTATGTGATGTGGACGTTTTTAGACCTAATGTAACGTTTCGCAAATTCATTATATACAATGGAAACGGCATTCGAGAGAGAGCCCCTAGAGATAACCTTCAGAGCTATCACCAAGAAATAATCCCAAGATATAGCCCCCAAAGATATACACCCAGAGATAGACCCCAGTAACAACATCAAGTCTGACATATGTCTCTCAATTTCATTTTAATGTTGTAAATCAGGACATGGACAGACAGATATTACTTACGTTGGTAGGTGTTTTCTAGAAGAACTTGCTTTGCCTGCAAAAAATTGAGAAAAAGGATTTTGATAGAGGGATGTATATACAATAATGTATACCTAGCATAGTATTGTGACGGACCGCCTGGCACCCCAAGTGGGTACCTCCATCAATCGCTGCTTCCTAGTAATCCTTGTGTACCATAAGCACCGCACCAGACACCGTAACCCCACAAACTGCCGCAGCTTGGTTGGGGTCTTGCTGTCCTCCACCTACCCTTAACCCAAGACCAGGATCCAGCTTCCAGTGGGTATACTTCCCCTAGTTCAGAGAGCAAAGCAGGTGCTCTTACAAGAGCAATCATTGTGATCCAATGGAGTATAGTGATTATAGCAATCCCCAGAGTGAATATAGCTCTCCAATCCCCCAAACATGAGCCTAGACTTCATGAAGGGTAAAATTCATCTGTTTAATGGCAGCCACAGCTGTCCTTATATGCAGGTTCCCATGCAAGCCCCCGGACCTGAAACTAGACTACAGTAAAATCATATACACAATTACATTGGCTCTCAGGTCCAGGACACTCCCATACAAAATAGGTCAATCCCTCCCCTATGCCTGGTAGATAATTGAGTCAGCCACTGTATTAAACTCAATTATCTCCAGGCACAGAAAACCATACATTTTAACAAAACCCCCAAATTACCTTTAAACACACACAACACCCACAAAAGTTACATTCCCTGACAGCCCTGATCTAGATGACCAACATATGCAAAAATCACCCAGATCAGTTTAGGGGTTCAGGAATTTCCCGGAAGTCATAATTTGACCGACCGGCCGCATGGTCCCATGCCTAAAACAGTTCCAGAGAATCAGGGCTTGCGGTCGGTCTAGTTCGGTAGTTTAAAAACGAAAACTACAGAACAGAGTCAATAGTCTTACCCTGGAGCTTGATCCCCCTGTTCGTGGGAACGTTTCTACCGAACAGTGTCTTCCTATGTGTTGTAGAACCGAACGCAGGCGATGCTGGAAATCCAGCTGTGTTCAGGAGTTTCTGTGTCCGATTTCAGTTCCATGAGATTCATGCCCCAACACCGCTGCCTGCGTTCGCGGGAACAAGATGGCTGCCACCTCGTGGTTGTCCATAGGAATTGCGGCCACCCAGACGAACACTTAGAACCCTGTGGTGGAAATTGCTACAAAGTAGCAATTAGGCTTAACAAGCTCCAGGGTGGTCTCCGGTTCGTGCAGCTGTTCGGCTTCCGAACCAAATATAAATTTCCATGAACCAAGTCTGTTCACATGGATTTTTAAAGGGACCAAAGTCTTTTGGTAAGATGCTGGCCAGTAGGCCCCTCCAAGAACACGTGACTCAGTCCGTCACAAGTGTGTACCTCACACGGTGTGTTTACCTAGCACAGTGTATATACCATAGTGGGTACCTCGCACAGTGTGTATATAGCATAGTGTGTACATAAATAACGGTTACCTTTTGAGGGATGGACGCTGGATGATTTTCCACAATCAGTCTTTTTATATGATGAATCCACAGCCGTTTCTCCTCCTGGTTTCTAGCCTGGAAATGGTTACAAGTCCGGTTACAGCATGTACTGATTGTCCCTGGGAGTGTGTACTTATTCTGACTGACCTGTACTGTCTGAATCTGTGTGTACAGACTGCTTAAATATGAACTGACTGGGTGTGTACAATGCGTTGGTGAACACAGACTGGTTATACATGTGCTGACAGTGTGTACTGACTGTGTGAACACGGACCTGTGATACATCAGCTGACAGTGTGCACTGATTGACATTATGGCAAAAAACTATTCTGCTGATATACACTGTGCTGACTGCCTGTGAGCACAGACTGGTTACATACATTTGTATCACAATGTCTGTGCTGACCAGCTGAGGATGTCAATAGGCTGTTAAAGTACATTAGTAGTCTATACATTATCAGTGTGCAATTAATATTAAACACGGATTGGTCACGTCAGCTCTCACCTGGATCACTTGTTGATGTTTAGGAATAGTTAAGTCTGACACCCGGAAACTCAGTGCATCCTTGAGATGCTCCATAAGAGCCAAGTTACAGCACTGGGAGGGAGAGAGACAATGAATGGTAAAACATATCACATTATCAGTTTACTAGTTATTGCACATAGGGTAGAAAATAGACCTATGTGACCATTCCACCAACTGTACATCATTTATTTTTATTTCCACAGGAATTAGAGTGCAGGCTGTCTCATGGCACAGGGAATCAGATGAATTACAATCAGTGGGGGAAGCATGTACGTTTGTGGTGATGCCAGGGTGAAGTTACTCACAAAGATGTGCATTTTATAGATAAAGAGATCTGTTCGCTTCTTGGCGATGAGAATCATTTTGCTAAACAAGAAGAATGCTCTCTCCTTCTTCACACGTTGTACTCGAAATGTCCCTTCCAGGACCAGCTCTCCAAAACCACCCAGGTCTGGACCCTGCCAGTTAACCAGCTGTCTCTGGATCTCCTGAAAAGAAACACGGATTAGCAGAGAAAATACAACAGAGGAAAGACCGATATACATTTATCTCCATACTCTGTACCTGAAGTCTAACAGCATGTTCCTGCTTTCTCTTCATGTCATTAATATACCAGGCAACTGCAGTCATTGTAATAATGGCTTCTTCCACCACCTCATATCCAGGAGCATTTTTATCAAAGTGCTTGGCTAACTCCTGCAAGAGATGGGAATGCTAAACTTTCAGGGGACAAGGCATAGCAAAGAGCAAGGATGAATGTACACATGCAGTCAGATTTCAGTAACATAATACTAAGAGTTACAGGTCAGGACAAAATATCAAGAGATAGCTCAGAACCTGCTAATTGAAGTAGTCCAGCTGCCGGACACACTTTCACAGGACAGATGGGGTGGCAGAACCAGGGACAGTGCCAGCAGGACACTCAAAATGTAGGGAGAGAAGAAGGAACATACCAGGAATAGGGTCACAAAAATGGGATAGATGTCAAACATAATGTCAGAAAATGGCCTAGAACGCATCCACTTAATGGTGAGTTCTGTAGATATATCATTAATGTCTATGGGAATTGTTTTAGACAAATTATTTGAAAAAAATGTTCTTACAGATTGTGATCATTTTAAAAAGCTTATCCCAAAGAATTAGATTGAGGCCATGGTCAATTATCAGGAGATATTTCACAAGCCGATTTAGAACATTGGAGAGAAACAGTCAAATCTCAGGGAATTGTCAGTTCTTCGAATGTCCAGTGGCCAGAGGACATGTGTTAGAACACAGTGAAGAGGTAGGTGAGATTTGCCACAGGAAGATCTAAAATACAGTTACGGAGATGGTCTGCCACAGAGACCCCTAGAAAATGGCGACACAAGTGGTCAAATCTTAGGGTATAGTCTGAAATAGTCAACAAAAACAGAGAATCAATAAAAGGTGGCAGAATTAGGGCCTTTCTCAGTGGAAATGACCACCCTTGCCTCACCTGCAGGAGGAGGTGATATTTCATTATACGCTGCACAGGTTTGAGAAGATAAGTCTCCAGTGGGAGGGAGTGCGATAAGACCATCTGTCGCTCTTTGAAGAACTGCACTAGAACGTCACTCTTCATGCACTCGCGCAGAACAGACACTGAGCTAGGAAGAAGAATGTAAAACATTTTATAACTGCAGAAAACAGTGTTACTCTGGGCTAATCTATTTGTGCATTTCATCACTAGATGCTAGAAAGAAGAGCAGCTTAAAATAGCAATGGCATTCAGGCTGTTGGCCTTCTAAAATGTCTACTTTTCACCAAATTTCTGCATGATCTGCATCTAGAATCAATGTCTATCAGCAGCTGAACTTTGGATTTTACCCCTTTGATGCAATGGTTTCTAGATAATGTGTTTCTACATAGTCTTCAGTAAAATGGCCTTAGCAGGATGTTTGTTTTTTTTGTCCCATATAGACCATGCCAATGATGCCAAGACCTGCCTTATTAGAGTATTTAGCCAGTGCTTGACACATGATAACTTGCTCAATTAGGAGGCTGGACTGAAACCTAGATTGAAGGCTGGATATGAAGCTGGGTCAGAGGCTGGTTTGGAAGATTGTTTAGAGGCTGGATCAGAGGCTTGATTGAAACCTAGATTGGCGGTTGGATTGAACCTAGATGAGAGGCTAGATCAAAGGCTAGACTGGAACCTAGACTTGAGGCTGGATTGGAAGCAGATTTGGAGAGGTAGTATCTCCTCGGGTGGAGACACTGAAGTGTAAGCTCACTGGGTCTCTCATTATTAGTTGGATCTGCTGAATGGGAAGTGACTCTTAAATCAGTATTGCCTACAATCAGTATGAAGCTTTTTTTCCCTACAAGTGGCCGGTTCACCGCCTCTCTGACATTAATCCAACCATCTGCTATTAAACTTATGATTTGTGGTTATGATGCGTGAATCAATAGTCCCAAATTATCATATTTAATGTTATAAAAGTAAATTTGTAATTTTACAGAAATATCACTTTTATTACATGAAACAAGACAGAACATGTCATTATAAATTCCTGGCAAACCCAACCCTAGCATTAGTCTCCGCAGGGCTTCATGTGCTATTTTGAGTGACTAGGAGAGACGGTAATAGTTTCTGATTTATAGCCTCCGTGGCCCTTCTTCTAGGTTCACCATCACACCCAGGCCCTCTCTTCCTGAACCTGTCCCCTATATTCCCATTCTGCGGATTCTGGGGTTCAAGGTAGATTAAGGAGTAGTAGGAGAGATTGCAGGTTACCTAGGGTAGTTCATGCAGTAAAGGGTGTATATGTCAAACTCTTCACTCTGTGAATAAAAGAGAAAACAACAGAACAATAAGAACTAATTTCACATTCTGCTAAATGTGTGTTTTATTTGTTTATGATTTTTTTTTTAAGCAATTCGGCAAACAATAGTACTACAGAAACTATTGGAGAAATTGATACTGCTTTCTGCTGAAAGTTTGATATCATTTTAGCAGGCTCTCAATCCCAAAACATGTCCCCCATAAAAAAATAAAAATTACGGTGGTCAACTTAAATCAGAGGGAATCACGTGACAGGAAGTTGTCCTTAAAAGGGCACTCCAATCACCTAAAGCAGTTTAGCTTGTGCCAAGTGATTTTTATTTAAAGGACCACTCTAGGCACCCAGACCACTTCAGCTTAATGAAGTGGTCTGGGTGCCTGGTCCTTCTAGGGTTAACCCATTTTTTAATAAACATAGCAGTTTCAGAGAAACTGCTATGTTTATGAATGGGTTAAGCCTTCCCCAAAGCCTCTAGTGGCTGTCTCATTGACAGCCACTAGAGGCGCTTGCGTGCTTCTCACTGTGATTTTCACAGTGAGAGCACGCCAGCGTCCATAGGAAAGCATTATGAATGCTTTCCTATGTGACCGGCTGAATGCGCGCGCAACTCTTGCCGCTCGTGCGCATTCAGCCGACGGGGCGGAACGGAGGAGGAGAGAAGGAGAGAGCTCTCCGCCCAGCGCTGGAAAAAGGTAAGTTTTAACCCCTTTCCCCTTTCCAGAGCCGGGCGGGAGGGGGACCCTGAGGGTGGGGGCACCCTCAGGGCACTATAGTGCCAGGAAAACGAGTATGTTTTCCTGGCACTATAGTGGTCCTTTAATGTTTGTATTTTAATTTGGGCACTGGCATTTTATTTTAACGATCTAAGCTGTTATTTCTAGAGGCAAAATCCACAAAGTGAAATTTTTCCCTTAATTGATTATTCGATCAACTTGTAAAAGAAATATGAGACATAGATGAAAAATTTAAAGGAACACTATAGTGTTGGGAATATAATACTACATTCCTAACACTATAGTATTGCTCGCCCATCCCGGCCAGGGGTCAAACAGTTCTAACCCCTTTTTACATGTAACTGATTGCAGCGCCATGGTCCCTTGGCTCTGGTTCGAGTTCCTCCTCCGACGTCAGCTGGTTGGATAAATCGAATGTACATACGTGGGGAGCACCACATATCCCATTGATGACACTAGACAAAGCATGAGGACGTCTAGCGACATTTCACAAAGAGGAAGTGCCTCTAGTGGGTGTCTGGTAGACAGTCTTAACCCTGCAATGTATTAATTGCAGTTTCTCTGAAACATCAATAAGATGAAATGTTCTGGGTAACTACAGTGTCCCTTTAAAGTAAGGGCATATGTGGCAATTCCCTACAGGAATCCGTGAGATTTATTGATTGTGAGCTGGCATTTCAATTCAAGTGGTTTGAATTGATTTTCCAATTGATATTGATTTGGGGTCTGCTGCGTCCCCTCATTTATTATGTAGCCCCCATTCCCAAGCACCTGCAACTGTCAAAAATGACCTAAATTCTCAGTGAATACTTTTCTAGCAGCCTATTTCATTGCCCCTACTAATAACTTTTGTGTCACTTTACCCCACTCCCTCCAGCATGTAAACTTACTGAGCAGGCCCTCAATCCCTCTGTTACTGTGTCACTATACCCCACTCCCTCTAACATGTAAACTCACTGAGCAGGGCCCTCAATCCCTCTGTTACTGTGTCACTATACCCCACTCCCTCTAACATGTAAACTCACTGAGCAGGCCCTCAATCCCTCTGTTACTGTGTCACTATACCCCACTCCCTCTAACATGTAAACTCACTGAGCAGGGCCCTCAATCCCTCTGTTACTGTGTCACTATACCCCACTCCCTCTAACATGTAAACTCACTGAGCAGGCCCTCAATCCCTCTGTTACTGTGTCACTATACCCCACTCCCTCTAACATGTAAACTCACTGAGCAGGGCCCTCAATCCCTCTGTTACTGTGTCACTATACCCCACTCCCTCTAACATGTAAACTCACTGAGCAGGGCCCTCAATCCCTCTGTTACTGTGTCACTATACCCCACTCCCTCTAACATGTAAACTCACTGAGCAGGCCCTCAATCCCTCTGTTACTGTGTCACTATACCCCACTCCCTCTAACATGTAAACTCACTGAGCAGGCCCTCAATCCCTCTGTTACTGTGTCACTATACCCCACTCCCTCTAACATGTAAACTCACTGAGCAGGCCCTCAATCCCTCTGTTACTGTGTCACTATACCCCACTCCCTCTAACATGTAAACTCACTGAGCAGGCCCTCAATCCCTCTGTTACTGTGTCACTATACCCCACTCCCTCTAACATGTAAACTCACTGAGCAGGCCCTCAATCCCTCTGTTACTGTGTCACTATACCCCACTCCCTCTAACATGTAAACTCACTGAGCAGGGCCCTCAATCCCTCTGTTACTGTGTCACTATACCCCACTCCCTCTAACATGTAAACTCACTGAGCAGGGCCCTCAATCCCTCTGTTACTGTGTCACTATACCCCACTCCCTCTAACATGTAAACTCACTGAGCAGGCCCTCAATCCCTCTGTTACTGTGTCACTATACCCCACTCCCTCTAACATGTAAACTCACTGAGCAGGGCCTCAATCCCTCTGTTACTGTCACTATACCCCACTCCCTCTAACATGTAAACTCACTGAGCAGGCCCCTCAATCCCTCTGTTACTGTGTCACTATACCCCACTCCCTCTAACATGTAAACTCACTGAGCAGGGCCCTCAATCCCTCTGTTACTGTGTCACTATACCCCACTCCCTCTAACATGTAAACTCACTGAGCAGGGCCCTCAATCCCTCTGTTACTGTGTCACTATACCCCACTCCCTCTAACATGTAAACTCACTGGAGCAGGGCCTCAATCCCTCTGTTACTGTGTCACTATACCCCACTCCCTCTAACATGTAAACTCACTGAGCAGGCCCTCAATCCCTCTGTTACTGTGTCACTATACCCCACTCCCTCTAACATGTAAACTCACTGAGCAGGCCCTCAATCCCTCTGTTACTGTGTCACTATACCCCACTCCCTCTAACATGTAAACTCACTGAGCAGGCCCTCAATCCCTCTGTTACTGTGTCACTATACCCCACTCCCTCTAACATGTAAACTCACTGAGCAGGCCCTCAATCCCTCTGTTACTGTCACTATACCCCACTCCCTCTAACATGTAAACTCACTGAGCAGGCCCTCAATCCCTCTGTTACTGTGTCACTATACCCCACTCCCTCTAACATGTAAACTCACTGAGCAGGGCCCTCAATCCCTCTGTTACTGTGTCACTATACCCCACTCCCTCTAACATGTAAACTCACTGAGCAGGGCCCTCAATCCCTCTGTTACTCTGTCACTATACCCCACTCCCTCTAACATGTAAACTCACTGAGCAGGGCCTCAATCCCTCTGTTACTGTGTCACTATACCCCACTCCCTCTAACATGTAAACTCACTGAGCAGGGCCCTCAATCCCTCTGTTACTGTGTCACTATACCCCACTCCCTCTAACATGTAAACTCACTGAGCAGGGCCTCAATCCCTCTGTTACTGTGTCACTATACCCCACTCCCTCTAACATGTAAACTCACTGAGCGGGGCCCTCAATCCCTCTGTTACTGTGTCACTATACCCCACTCCCTCTAACATGTAAACTCACTGAGCAGGGCCCCAATCCCTCTGTTACTGTGTCACTATACCCCACTCCCTCTAGCATGTAAACTCACTGAGCAGGGCCCTCAATCCCTCTGTTACTGTGTCACTATACCCCACTCCCTCTAACATGTAAACTCACTGAGCAGGTCCTCAATCCCTCTGTTACTGTGTCACTATACCCCACTCCCTCTAACATGTAAACTCACTGAGCAGGGCCCTCAATCCCTCTGTTACTGTGTCACTATACCCCACTCCCTCTAACATGTAAACTCACTGAGCATGGCCCTTAACTCCTCTGTTCCTGTGCGTCCATTTGTCTGGTTACAACTACGTGTCTGTTAGTCCATCCATTGTAGAGCGCTACAGAATTTGCTGGCGCTATATAATTAATAATAATAATAGAGGAGGCAGTGCACTTTGTCCCATCCTTCCATTGTGTGAGGAAGACAGGGAGCCATACCGAAGGGTCTCCCGACAAGAGTAATAGTGAGTTGAAAATTGTTTTATTTTTTAATTTAAGTATATTTTAAGCTAGCTGACCTATCTCGCTGAGCTATTTTGGGAGCATTCAAGGCCATCTTGTATTAATCTGAATAATGTTCAGTTTAGATGTGGATTTGTCAATACTAAAATATAGTTAATTGTTGCATAGAAAATACAGCTAATCCAAAATACATTTACCAATACTTAAAAACTATCTGAAGCTCCGTGAATAACACAAATACAATTCTTAAAAATATGCTACAAAATTATTCTGCTTGAAACCATTTGCCCAGCAGGGGGCATCTTACCCTCATGACAAAACATTCTGCAATCCCGTGGGCGGATTCACAGTTCTCCAGATCTTCGAGTAACTCACTGCAACACAAGATATAGGGTTACTGCTACAACATACACATTATCAAATGGAGAAAGAATGACACCATCAGCATAACCCAGGCTATGGGAGTACGGAGCTGGTTCTTTGTATCTTTGTGATACATTGAATCATAAGTTCTATATTTATTTACTATTATAACAAAAGCTGGAATTCAGATACATACTGACTTTCAGTTAATTTCGTTTGTTTCTGGTATTTCTGATACACACCTCACATTTCTGAGTTTTATTTGTGTGGAGCTCTGTGACACGCATACACACCACAGATTACGTGTGCTATTGTTGTGGAGCTCTGTGGTAACTTCACAGAAGCCTACTAATCATGTAAGTCAGAAAGTGGAAGACCAGGGAGAATGAACACATACAAATGTATATATACACATACGGTCAAAGAGTCAGCCTATGACAAGCCAGTTCAATACAAATAATAACCAAAATATCACGGAACAAGCTTACGAGCTGTGAAAGCTACAAAGGAGCACATTGTCCAGAGTTGTGGGGGTTTAGGTATGGAAGAATGATCATCACTGTCTTTATCAAACTGCAGGCAAGATACCTCTAGAGCAGGACTGGCACCAGAATCAACAGCAAGCATTTGGTGCCAACCCAGATCATTATTTTATTAGGGAGGAATGGGAAGTGAGATCCTGAAAAACCATTGGTTTCACTTTGGCGACATTTCATTGTTCGCCCCAAGTCCCCTGTAACTCTGAGACAAAACCACTTATCGCTGCTTCCTAGTACTTATGAGCACCATAAGCACTGCACTGAACACCATAAACCCCACAAACAGCCGGAGCTTGGTTGGGGTCTCACTGTCCTCCACCCACCCTGGATCCAAGACCAGGATCCAACATCCAATGGGTAGACCTCTCCTAGTCCAGAGAAGCAGGCTGCTCTTATCAGAGCAAGTGTTGTGATCCTGAGTGTGAATATAGCTCTCCAATCCCCCAAACATGAGACTAGACTTCATTAAGGGTAAAGTAAATCTCGTTTATTGGTAGCCACAACTGGCCTTTTATGACAGTCCCCATGCAAGGGGCACTCCCCCTTGGACCTGAGAGTAAACCGCAGTAGAAGTAAATACACAATCACATTGGCTCTTAGGTCCAGGACACTCCCATACAAAATAGATCAATCCCTCCCCTATGCCTGGGAGATAATTGAATTTAGTATAGTGCTTGACTTAATTATCTCCAAACACAAAAAACACACATTTTCCAAACATCCCAGAAGTGCCTTAAAACACAAGAAACCCCCACAAAAGTTGTTCACCCAGATTGGGACAATCCGGGGATATAACATATCAAAAAATCACCCAGATCGGTTCAGAGGTTCAGGAACCGCAAAGTATTCAAGCCGAAAATAGTTCCAGGGCATTCGCAGCTAAGTCCCCCCGAAGTCTATTCACGGTTTTGGTCCGCCAGTGAGCTAGTGTTCGGTTCTATGGAAAGTGTCGAACCAGGGGGAATAAAATATGGATCTTTACAGTCGCTGACCTGGCCCATAGTCTTTTGGCAAGAGGCTGGCAAGCAGGCCCCTCCAAGAACATGTGACAAGGCTCAGTTCATCACAGGAATAAAGGGTTAATACAGCACAGCTTGCGATTAATACAGAAGGGGTGGAGTTTATACTCTAAATGTGTGTTTAGGATTGGAGTTAGTACGTGTTGTAAGTTGGATGATACGGGGCTATCAAATATAGACTTGGGCTATATTTCTGCCACCTGGTCGCCAGGATTCTTGAGAAGATCATTAAGGTGGCGCCCTACATTAAATAATGAAGTCCTCGCACTTTAGGGGCAAACACCTTTCCCTAACTGGTAGAACATGATGGAGATCCCTAATGGCTATAACCTTCTTTGCTGTCTGTAGCTGCTTTTTCAAAAATAATTTTCAAATGGAATAATGGTTTCTGGGGGCGATAAAACATACGTTTAAACATTACAGAGCATCAGTGGAATCTGTACGCACTGTGCAGGGCAAATTGCTATCAAATGTCTAGATTAAAATCTATTTCTAAGTTTGTTTTTAAAGCCATGTATTATTATTTCCGCACAGATTGCCCCAAAATGCTGAATAACAACTATCTGGGGCAGGAAGGAGAGGCACATTCGCTTACATTACCAGGCATGGTTGCGTATTTAGAATAGATAATCAGACAGAATGTTGGATGATAGTTGTAGCCATATCAGGGTTTACTCATATAAAATAGACAATCAGAAAGAGTGTCCATCTTGGCAGAGGGCAGCGCCCCGTATTTGGGGTTTAGACAGACAGACATAGTGGCCATCTTTGTACGGTTGTAGCCAGAGATCACACATTTGTATAGAAGGTTGGACAGAGCCACCATTATGAAGCCAGTCACAGCAAAAAAGAGCTGCCACTATTTCTGAGGTTACACATTTAAAAAGATGGTCAGACACAGTAGCCATCTTGGAGGGTGGTTTTAGCCATATCAGGAATTACACATTTAGAGAGACGGTTAGACAGAGCAGCCATCTTGGAGGATGGTAGCCGTATCAGAAATTACACATTTAGAGACGGTCAGACAGAACGGTCATCTTGGAGGATGGTTGTAGCCGTATCAGGAGTTACACATTTAGAGACAGTCAGAGTGGCAATCATGGAGGACTGTTGTAGCCATCAAAGGGATTATACGTATAAAACAGACAATCAATTGGTCAGACGGAGCTGCCATCATACAAACAATTAATTTGGCTAGTAGCTAATGAAAAGATTGGTAGCTATTGTGTGATAGACATTACAGTCTCGCTGAATGACTGTCTAGCACAGAACATGTTATGGAAGTGATGTCAGCCGTGGTTTAACCCTTTCCACATGTTGAGTTTCTGTGGGAACGTGGACCCTTAGTGAGCAGAACGGGTTCCAGATGTGCAGTGAGAGGCCTGGAGTTATTTTTAAACCCAGGCACTGGACTCTATTAAACCTTCTCTGAAACCAGAGCCATCCTGTTTGTAAAGTCTGGGGGGATGGGGTCAGCGTTCAGACATTCTGGACCACCCCTGTCATACTATGGAAACCCCCCACCTATCAGCCTGCAATTACCTCAAACACAGATAGAATGAAGACTCATCACTATTATATTTAATAAGGTCTCAGCTAGAGCAATTCACTGAGTGTAGACAGACAGTGAGCATTCACTCACTAAGCACAGACTCACTGAGCATTCACTTACTAAGTACATACTCACTGAGCACTGGCAAACTGGAACTGAGCATAGACTAACTCATTAAGCACTAGCTCACTGACTTACTGAGCAATGACTTCCCGAGTATGGACTCAGTCACTGGGCTCTGATTTATTGAAGCATGGTATGGAGCTACTCACATTATTTATGGGCACACAATCATTTATGTCAGACATGTGTGTGCAGCTAGCACTGACTCCTTGGTTGGAAATGAGAACAGACTCATTCACTGGTACCAAGCACAGACTAACTGGTTATGAGCACAGACTCCCTTACCAGAACCAAGAACAGACTCACTCACCAGAACTTACAGGTACAAATAAAATATACACTCACCTGTTAAATTCATAAATATCTTCAACATTGCAGAATAAAGTGCTGACTTGTTCGGGTTTGAGTGGGAGATGCCCACAGTCAATAATGCAGCCCAGGTAATCCTGCAATGACAGAGGAGAACCGGGCACAATGATAGAGTAAAATACTGAGTGAAACAAAGATATAATAATATAACATACGACATACAATGTAACATAGTGCCTGTATAATACTGAGTGAACCAAAGATACAATGTAACATAGTGCCTGTATAATACCGTGTAACATAGTGCCTGTATAATACTGAGTGAACCAAAGATACAATGTAACATAGTGCCTGTATAATACTGAGTGAACCAAAGATACAATGTAACATAGTGCCTGTATAATACTGAGTGAACCAAAGATACAATGTAACATAGTGCCTGTATAATACTGAGTGAACCAAAGATACAATGTAACATAGTGCCTGTATAATAAACATAGTGCCTGTATAATACTGTGAACCAAAGATACAATGTAACATAGTGCCTGTATAATACTGTGTAACATAGTGCCTGTATAATACTGTGTACAATGTAACATAGTGCCTGTATAATACTGAGTGTACAATGTAACATAGTGCCTATATAATACTGTGTAAAATAGTGCCTGTATAATACTGAGTGAACCAAAGATACAATGTAACATAGTGCCTGTATAATACTGAGTGAACCAAAGATACAATGTAACATAGTGCCTGTATAATACCGTGTAACATAGTGCCTGTATAATACTGAGTGAACCAAAGATACAATGTAACATAGTGCCTGTATAATACTGTGTAAAATAGTGCCTGTATAATACTGTATAACAGGGGTAGGCAACCTACGGCACTAGTGCCATGCACGGCACTCGAGGTGTTTTTCCACGGCACTCAAGGCTGCTAGAGCCAAACAGGCTCTGGCCTATCAGGAGTCCCAGTGAAACTTTAGATATCTGCTAATTCGAAAAGGTGGTGAAGGAAAATCCTCAATTTATGCATTGCAGCACGTAGAGGAAGTGAGCTCAGATCACTTCCTCCCAGCACTTGTGAATGGGAATCCACACTGTAGTAGAGCAGCCCACAGCTGCTGTTGAAGCTCCTGTCCTTGACCTGCACCTGGCCAGCCTGGCCCCCACTGGACCCCAGGGAAGCCACCCACACTACCAAACACACAATGTGACATATCCATCCACACACAATTTCACAAGCAGCCCCCATACACAGCCCACATTCATATGTATCATACACGATACCATAAACTACTAATGAACATATACAATATAATAGCTCATATACGCACAAATACAACGATACAAAGCACAAGCAGAATACGGCAGCATTCACACCTCAATTTAAAAAAATAGGATCGGCACGCTACGGGACATCACAATCCTATATCGGCACAGTGCTGCTAAAAGGTTGCCTACCCCTGCTGTATAATATAGTGTCTGTATAATATCGTGTAACATAGTGTATGGGTAATACCATGCCACATACATTCACAATAATACTGTGTAACATACATTCACAGTACTACGTATCACATACAGTTTGAGTAATAAAGTGTAACATAAATCCATTCACAGTAATACCATGTAACATACAGTTTGAGTAATACCATGTAACATCCATTCACAGTAATACAGTGTAACATACAGTTTGAGTAATACCATCTAACATGTCGCCTTATTTACCTTTAAATCTTATTGACTGAGCTTAAAGTATCGCGCAGCTTAATTAGTGCAATAATGCTTTGCCAACACTGCAGGTGTTAGGATAAGATGTCACATGATGTGTATTACTTACATTTATTTCTTATTTGATACAGTGAGAGTTTCAGAATCTGACATTATAATAAACAAACTATTAACTCTATTTTGAGTCGTGACAAATTGAATAGAATGTTGAGTGTGGATCTCATCTAATCAGAATATAATAATTCATTTGGATAGCGGCATAGAGCCCAGTACAGTATGTAACAATATGAGAAGGGTGCAATAAGGTGGACTAACCACTTCCCCTAGTGGATAGCGGCATAGAGCCCAGTACGGTATGTAACAATATGAGAAGGGTGCAATAAGGTGGACTAACCACTTCCCCTAGTGGAGAGCGGCATAGAGCCCAGTACGGTATGTAACAATATGAGAAGGGTGCAATAAGGTGGACTAACCACTTCCCCGAGTGGAGAGCGGCATAGAGCCCAGTACGGTATGTAACAATAAGAGAAGGGTGCAATAAGGTGGACTAACCACTTCCCCTAGTGGATAGCGGCATAGAGCCCAGTACAGCATGTAACAATATGAGATGGGTGCAATAAGGTGGACTAACCACTTCCCCTAGTGGAGAGCGGCATAGAGCCCAGTACAGCATGTAACAATATGAGAAGGGTGCAATAAGGTGGACTAACCACTTCCCCTAGTGGAGAGCGGCATAGAGCCCAGTACAGCATGTAACAATATGAGAAGGGTGCAATAAGGTGGACTAACCACTTCCCCTAGTGGATAGCGGCATAGAGCCCAGTACAGCATGTAACAATATGAGAAGGGTGCAATAAGGTGGACTAACCACTTCCCCTAGTGGAGAGCGGCATAGAGCCCAGTACAGCATGTAACAATATGAGAAGGGTGCAATAAGGTGGACTAACCACTTCCCCTAGTGGAGAGCGGCATAGAGCCCAGTACAGCATGTAACAATATGAGAAGGGTGCAATAAGGTGGACTAACCACTTCCCCTAGTGGATAGCGGCATAGAGCCCAGTACAGCATGTAACAATATGAGAAGGGTGCAATAAGGTGGACTAACCACTTCCCCTAGTGGATATCGGCATAGAGCCCAGTACAGTATGTAATAATATGAGAAGTGTGCAATAAGGTGGACTAACCACTTCCCCTAGTGGATAGCGGCATAGAGCCCAGTACAGTTTGTAACAATATGAGAAGGGTGCAATAAGATGGATTAACCACTTCCCCTAGTGGATAGTGGCATGGAGCCCAGTACAGTTTGTAACAATATGAGAAGGGTGCAATAAGGTGGACTAACCACTTCCCCTAGTGGTCAAACATACATATAACTATCAATAATTCCAACTGCCAATCAAATAATGATCCTCTCTACAAGCAAATGAGAGGAGATGGGTCCACGTCAATCTTCTGTGACTATTCCAGTCAGTGAAACCAAACTCCCAGGTTTGAAAGGGAACTGTCCCTCCACTGGAAATTACTGATAACCTGTGTTCACCTCATCTGCACAAGATGCTCTGTTTTATTTAAATAATTATTTAAAAGATTTAGCAAATTACATCATAACCATACAAGGCAAAGCCCGGACAAAACAAAGTAAATGAAGAGGCGAAATAGACACATTGTTTTATGTCTCCTGCTCTTTGTATGCTCTCTCTATACTGACTGCCAGGTGTAAAGGGCAGAGCTTATAACAATGATTGACAGGGAGCTAAGATGGAGGCGGCTCTCTCTATACTGACTGCCAGGTGTAAAGGGCGGAGCTTATAACAATGATTGACAGGGAGCTAAGATGGAGGTGGCTCTCTCTATACTGACTGCCAGGTGTAAAGGGCGGAGCTTATAACAATGATTGACAGGGAGCTAAGATGGAGGTGGCTCTCTCTATACTGACTGCCAGGTGTAAAGGGCGGAGCTTATAACAATGATTGACAGGGAGCTAAGATGGAGGTGGCTCTCTCTATACTGACTGCCAGGTGTAAAGGGCGGAGCTTATAACAATGATTGACAGGGAGCTAAGATGGAGGTGGCTCTCTATACTGACTGCCAGGTGTAAAGGGCGGAGCTTATAACAATGATTGACAGGGAGCTAAGATGGAGGTGGCTCTCTCTATACTGACTGCCAGGTGTAAAGGGCGGAGCTTATAACAATGATTGACAGGGAGCTAAGATGGAGGTGGCTCTCTCTATACTGACTGCCAGGTGTAAAGGGCGGAGCTTATAACAATGATTGACAGGGCTTCTCTCGGTGTCCTGTGCCAATTACATCACAAAGGGACATTTACTTGTGTTAGCTCAGTTAGGATCACGGACATGGCATTTACCTCCTCAAACTTTCATTTTACTTCAACATTTTGTACTTATCTAACGTTTTGTTGGATAAGCTTTACAAATTCGTTAATATTAACGGACAAACTTTTAAAATTATTTTTTTTTTAAATATTAAAAGTTCAAAAAATAAATCACATAAAAAATAATGTGTATATATACATACATATTACAAAACTAAGATTTTTTTCCAAGAGAGATTTTTACGTGTTTGAGAATACAAAAACTACCTAGGAAGCCATATCCTACATAATGAGTTCTTAAACAAAAAAATAAAAAATAAATGATCTTTTCAAGAAGGATGTTAAAAGTAAGTCCATCTCCTATAGTTGCGAAATTCTGAGATTACAAGGTGATGTTAAAAAAACCAGAGTGAGGAAGACCGAATGATCTATAAGATTAGGCAGAAAGAGGCTAAGCAAGTTATAAGAGCTTCCAAATCACACACACAAGAGAAAATAGCACAGTCAGTAAAAAAGGGGGATAAAACATTTTTTAGATACATAAATGAGAAAAGAAAAGTAAAACAAGGATTAGTTAGATTAAAAACAAAAGAAGGGAGGTATGTAGAAGAGGATAAAGGTCAGGCTGACTGGCTCAATGAATATTTTTGTTCTGTATTTACAGATGAACATGAAGGAAAGGGACCTCAGTTGAGAAAAAGGATAAATGAGTCATTTATTACACGTGAGTTTACAGAGGAAGAGGTTCTATTTCAACTGTCAAAAATAAAGACAAATAAGTCAATGGGACCTGATGGAATACACCCAAAGCTATTAAAAGAGCTTAGTGGTGTACTAGCAAAACCATTAACAGATTTATTTAACCAATCATTGTTAACAGGAGTAGTCCCAGAAGATTGGAAGTTAGCAAATGTTGTGCCCATTTACAAGAAAGGTAATAGGGAGGAGTCGGGCAACTATAGGCCAGTAAGCCTTACTTCAGTAGTGGGGAAAGTGATGGAAACCATGTTAAAGGATAGGATTGATGAACATCTAAAAACACATGGATTTCAAGATCAGAGACAACATGGGTTTACTTCAGGGAGATCATGCCAAACTAATCTTATTGATTTTTTTGATTGGGTAACTAAAATTATAGATCAGGGTGGTGCAGTAGACATTGCTTACCTAGATTTCAGTAAGGTTTTTGACACTGTTGCACATAGAAGGCTTATCAATAAACTGCAATCTTTAAGTTTGGATTCCAATATTGTTGAATGGGTAAGGCAGTGGCTGAGTGACAGGCAACAGAGGGTTGTAGTTAATGGAATATATTCGAAGCTTGGACTTGTCACCAGTGGGGTACCTCAGGGATCTGTACTTGGACCCATTCTCTTTAATATTTTTATTAGTGATATTGCAGAAGGTCTTGATGGTAAGGTATGTCTTTTTGCTGATGATACTAAGATATGTAACAGGGTTGATGTTCCAGGAGGGATAAGCCAAATGGCAAATGATTTAGGTAAACTAGAAAAATGGTCAGAATTGTGGCAACTGACATTTAATGTGGATAAGTGCATCTTGGACGTAAAAACCCAAGGGCAGAGTACATAATATTTGATAGAGTCCTAACCTCAACATATGAGGAAAGGGATTTAGGGGTGATTATTTCTGATGACTTAAAGGTAGGCAGACAATGCAGCAGGAAATGCTAGCAGAATGCTTGGTTGTATAGGGAGAGGTATTAGCAGTATAAAGAGGGAAGTGCTCATGCCATTGTACAGAACACTGGTGAGACTTCACTTGGAGTATTGTACACAGTACTGGAGACCGTATCTTCAGAAGGATATTGATACCTTTAGAGAGGGTTCAGAGAAGGGCTACTAAACTGGTTCATGGATTGCAGGATAAAACTTACCAGGAAAGGTTAAAGGATCTTAACATGTATAGCTTGGAGGAAAGACGAGACAGGGGGGATATGATAGAAACATTTAAATATATGAAGGGAATCAACACAGTAAAGGAGGAGACTTTATTTAAAAGAAGAAAAACTACCACAACAAGAGGACATAGTCTTAAATTAGAGGGACAAAGGTTTAAAAATATCAGGAAGTATTACTTTACTGAGAGGGTAGTGCATGCAAGGAATAGCCTTCCAGCTGAAGTGGTAGAGGTTAACACAGTAAAGGAGTTTAAGCATGCGTGGGATAGGCATAAGGCTATCCTAACTATAAGATAAGGCTAGGGACTAATGAAAGTATTTAGAAAATTGGGCAGACTAGATGGGCCGAATGGTTCTTATCTGCCGTCACATTCTATGTTTCTATGTTAAACCTAAACTGTGGAAAAAACTTGGATATTGAATTCTGAGCTTCCTCACACCTAAATCAGTGGTACAGATCTATTCGAGCAGTCGCTGCTATGTTAACTATTATTTTTCCTATTGTTTAATTTTAAAAGTTTATCCAAAAACATTCAATAATTTGAAATACTTATCCAACAGTATTAAGTCAAGGACTAGATTTGCAGATTTACATTGAACATTGTAACCTGTATGTTACCAGTAAATTGTATCTCAATAAAACATTCACCAGCAGAAAAACTTTCTACGGAAACAAAGTAAACATGAGGAGATGTACAGGGGCAGTTTATATTCAATTTTAAATGAGCAGAATGGAAGAATGGATTAGAAAAGTGGTTCCCAAACTTTTTAGGTTCAAGGTGCCCTTAATATTTTAATATTTTTCCAAGGCGCCCTAAGTCAAATTGTTTTCTAGGTTGTATATATGTACAGACAGCGCAGCGGCATATACTGGGCCCCTGTTCGGCAGAAATGCTTGCCGTTCAGTCGCAGATCCAAAACCTAATCTTGGGAGGGGCACTGATAGATTATATAAAGAAACAATCCAGGCACAATAACCACTACAGCACTTTGTAGTGGTTATGGTGCCAGTAGTGCCTCCCAGAGTAAGTAGCAAAACTGTTTAAGAACAGTTTGACAACTTACCTGGCATCTGCCGGGATAGGGGCTGTAGAAGGGGATAGGGGCAGTAGTGTTTGTGAGGGATGCAGTGTGTGTGTGTGTATGTAGGGCAACTTGTGCGTGAGGGGTACAGTGTGTTTGTGTATGGGGGCAGGTTGTATAAAGGGTACAGTGTGTGTGGGGAGCAATTGTGTGTATGGGGGCAGTGTGTGTGTATGGGGGCAGTGTGTGTATACGGGGGGAGAGTGCAGTGTGCGTGTGTATATGTGGCAGCTTTTGCGTGAGGGGTACAGTGTGTATGTGTGTGGGGGCAGGTTGTATGAGGGTACAATATCTGTGGCGGCAGGTTGTGTGAGGGATACAGTTTGTGTGTATGGATGGGCAGTCTGTGTGAATGGGGGTAATTGTTTGTATGGGGTAGTGTGTTTGTGTATGGGGGCAGTATGTGTGTGTGTATGGGGGAGTTATTGTGTGGTGTGGGGTCTGTGGAGGTGGGAGGGCAAATTCATGAATATATATTTTTTTCTTTTTAATTAAAAATAATAATTTTCATATCCCCCCTCCCTGCTTACCTTTGCCTGGTGGGGGGATATTTCCTGCAATCCCTGGTGGTCTTGTGGGGAAGCTCTGGTGGTCCCAGTGGTGAGAGTGAACTCATGGGCTTCTAGAGTTCTCTCTTGCGAGACTTGGAGTGTTGCCACAGAGCTGCAGTTTAGAGCTCCCCTGGGTCCCCTCTCTCTCCCCTGCTGACTGCCAGCATCTCTGATCTCCTCTCTGGTCCTGCAGAGCCGGCAGGGGAGAGGGAGGCACAGTTTCCGGTGCTATGATCATAGCACCGGGAAAATATCTTGTGGCTCCCCTGTGTGCCTGTTGCAGCACCCCAGGATGCCGTGGCACACAGTTTGGGAACCCCAGGATTAGAAGAAACAGTAAATATGATGGTTAATAAATGGATTACAGGAAGTATTAGATATGATAGTTTGAATGGATTGGAGGAAGCATTAGATTTAATGGTTATTGAATGGATTGGAGGAAGCATTAGCTATGATAGTTAATGAATGGATTAGAGGAAGCATTAGATATGATGGTTATTAATGAATGTATTAGATATGATGGTTATTGAATGGATTAGAGGAAGCATTAGATATGATCGTTATTATTGAATGGATTACAGGAAGCATTAGATATGACGCTTATTAATGAAAGGATTAGAGGAAGCATTAGATTTGACGGTTATTAACAAATGGATTAGAGGAAGCATTAGATATGATGGCTATTGAATGGATTGAAGGAAGCATTAGATATGATGGTTATTGACTGGATTAGAGGAAGCATTAGATATGACAGTTATTGAATGGATTAGAGGAAGCATTAGATATGATGGTTATTAATGAATGTATTAGATATGATGGTTATTGAATGGATTAGAGGAAGCATTAGATATGATCGTTATTATTGAATGGATTACAGGAAGCATTAGATATGACGCTTATTAATGAAAGGATTAGAGGAAGCATTAGATTTGACGGTTATTAACAAATGGATTAGAGGAAGCATTAGATATGATGGCTATTGAATGGATTGAAGGAAGCATTAGATATGATGGTTATTGACTGGATTAGAGGAAGCATTAGATATGACAGTTATTGAATGGATTAGAGGAAGCATTAGATATGACGGTTATTGAATGGATTAGAGAAAGCATTAGATATGACGGTTATTGAATGGATTAGAGGAAGCATTAGATATGACGGTTATTGAATGGATTAGAGGAAGCATTAGATATGACGGTTATTGAATGGATTAGAGGAAGCATTAGATATGATGGTTATTGACTGGATTGGAGGAAGCATTAGATATGATGGTTATTGAATGGATTAGAGGAAGCATTAGATATGATGGTTATTGACTGGATTAGAGGAAGCATTAGATATGACAGTTATTGAATGGATTAGAGGAAGCATTAGATATGACGGTTATTGAATGGATTAGAGAAAGCATTAGATATGACGGTTATTGAATGGATTAGAGGAAGCATTAGATATGATGGTTATTGAATGGATTAGAGGAAGCATTAGATATGATGGTTATTGAATGGATTAGAAGAAGCATTAGATATGACGGGTATTGAATGGATTAGAGGAAGCATTAGATATGACAGTTATTGAATGGATTAGAGGAAGCATTAGATATGATGGTTATTGAATGGATTAGAGGAAGCATTAGATATGATGGTTATTGAATGGATTAGAAGAAGCATTAGATATGACGGGTATTGAATGGATTAGAGGAAGCATTAGATATGACGGTTATTGAATGGATTAGAGAAAGCATTAGATATGACGGTTATTGAATGGATTAGAGGAAGCATTAAATATGACGGGTATTGAATGGATTAGAGGAAGCATTAGATATGATGGTTATTGAATGGATTAGAGGAAGCATTAGATATGATGGTTATTGAATGGATTAGAGGAAGCATTAGCTATAATGTACTTTGAACAAATGATCTGTTTTCAGTGGCCAGAGTTTAGAGAAAACCTCTCACCTCTACGATGCTCTTGAGGTCCCTGACATATGCCTGCTCGGTTTCGAGAATTTCAAGGATTACTCTGTCCATATGCGAGAGTTTGGTTTTGGGATCTTTCGCTTTTCGGAGTATGGGAGACCATGGGTAATCCAGGAAGACATTTTCTGCAGCAAGTACCTCAGGCTCACCCTCCAGCTGGACCACGGGAGTGAGGTCCAGACTGATGTCACTACCATTTTGCTGGGTATATGGGTTGTTATATTGGGCAGATCCCAGAGTTCCAATGCTGCCAAAAGAACTATGACTGTCCTGCAGAGAGGCTGAGGAAGCCGAGGAGCTGAGGCTGACCGGCCGGTCACTATCCGAACAAACTGTATTAACTGATGTACAGCTGCCTGACATCCCGGCGACGATGCCACTCAGAGAACTGACAGACGATGGCCTGGGGACAGCTGGCATACCAAAAAAGCAGAGATAAAATGTTAGCTGTGCATATAGGGTTAAACAAAACTAGAAACTACAATAGCCACATAAATCAATATTACGACCTCTATTTAATATTATTGGAAAAGCTTTTCAAATGATTTCATATTTTTTAATAATATTTTTTCAAAATATTAAAATCAAAAACGTTTATAATTTGTAAAAACATATATCGACACATTAAAAAATTCTAAATATTAAAATATTTTTCAAAGTATTAAATCATGTCAAAAGGTTAACCAATTATACTAAGTCAAGGACTATTACACCATAGGTTTATTTTTAAAGAAAGAAGGAAAGTAATATTATAAATTAATTTTATTATATTCTAAAGCAGAACGAGTCACCCAATAAACCATGTAATGGAATTTATTTTTTTTTGACAATCTTTATTTAGATTTTAGTTAGACATATTATCATGTAGTTTATTAAGAAACACTAAACAACATTTCAACGATTTTAAAGCCTTCTCAAGCCTATGACAGTCTAGATTACTAACCAGACTCGGAGCATATGCTTATAACATATTATATCACAGTCTAGGTTACTAACCATAGTCAGAGAATTACTCTATAATCTATTGTACAGCGCTGTGGAATATATTGCCTCTATATAAATAATTGTTTCTAACCAAATAATATCACATTCCAGGGTAGCCAGTCTCAAGCTTGATACTGATAGTACTACTACGTCAAATATTGAGTGACAGGAGAGAAGCAGGAGAACCCTTCTTCAGACAACTCTCCCACATCAGCTACAGGAGCTGTGCCTCCAAGGTACAAATGTACTCGATCAAGTCCACTTATGTTAGACTCGGGTAAGAAACCGGTCAGAGCTGGAGACTGGTATTACATCAGTGTAACACCCATCAAGATGATGACACAGTGGCACTAAAGAGGAGAAACTCATATCTCACATGAAGCAGTTGGATTTATCACTTATTATTAAGATCAATTATGTATTAATGGCTTTATGTGCTGTGAACGTTCTGTGACAAGTTTACTTTCAGAAAAGAACAACATAGTGTATTACTGAATGAGTCAGATTATAGAACGCGACATATACATTATTACAGTACATAGATTGTTAAATCGGCATCGTCACTGAGAGAGCCTTAACCAGTGGCAATGGGAATGCGGATAATTTGAGGAAGTCCTATGTAATTACCGATCCCATTCAGGAAACCAGACATAGCAGTCTAAATGTCACTTGGGAAAAGAGGAGGAAAGATAGAAAGAATTACATAGATGGGAATTAATAATAAAAGGAAAGAAACCGAGAGAATGAGATAAGAATGAGAATAATGAATTGAGAGACAGAAATAATGGCTAATTAAGCTATGTTTCATGGGAATTGAGTGTTCTAGACTGTACTCAACACAAGGGCTAGTAATATTACAGACGCAGAGAGATTTAATCAGAGATGGGGGGTGTGGAACTTCCAGTATCTTCAGCCCCCTCGACTGAAACGTTTTTCTAACAGATTGTTCTATGAAAAGCTTATCCAACAATATTAAATCAAGGTCTTAATTGTAACAAGTGAGGAGCTGGTGGGTTCTATAAGAACTAAATACTTGTATAACTCGTTTTGAGCAGAAGACTATTAAAGCATGGGACAATCTGTATTATCCACAAACAGGAGAAGTCAAGACATTTCCCCACGTCTACACTCTACAGCCTCAATTTAATTAGTTTGAATCGGATTCAGAAATCATTGCAATACGTTTCAATTTCAAAAATTTCTCTGCAAAAAATCCCATGGACTTTAATTGTGAATTCATATATTTCTATCTTTACAAAAGAGATAAACCAAAGGTGCTGTGTCAATGTAAGGCGCTAAAGGTAAATTTACATCAAAAGTTTGAAAAGCTGCTCAACACTTGTGTTAATACCTCTTACTTAACCCAAAAACATGCAAACCAGATAGTGAAATATTGTTTGAGTGGCGAGAACCCACCACATCAAACAAAAAACAGCGGAGCGCTAAATTTATACACTTACCCTTAAATAAGGGAATATAGTTAAAACAGAGTGTCTAAGAGAGAAAAATAGACAAAATATGGTGCAGTATGTCTAAACAAGTAGAATATTATATTTTTCGTATGAAGCACACTCACATGGTGCAGAGCCTTATGGGGATAGGCTCAAATCTCATGCGTAGAGGTATTTTAAGAGAATACCAAAACTTCTTCAGTGTAGAGATGTTGAGTACTCAGAGAGATAAGGAGAGATAAGACAAAATATAGTGTATTATCCTCACTAAAAACGTGAATAAAGTAAGGTAGTCACTGCTCACCTTGTTGAGAGCCAAAGTACTGGGCTCTCAGAATAATGTGCACTGTGCCTTTAAGAGGACACTGGCAAGATGTGGGACTTGAATAAATGTATTAACCAAAATGTAAGGTAAATTAAAACAACAAAATAAAAAATACCACAAATGTTCAGTCCAAACAATGAAGTTGCCGTCCAAAGCAGTCCGAAAGCCTATTTGTGACTCAGGAAATTCTCCTGAATGTTCTAGAAAATATTTGGTGGGTTCACAGCCCTTAGTGTGTTCTATTATTGTGTAGAGCAAATTTACGTCCGCCGTGACCAAAAATTAGTCATTGTCCCATGTAGTTTGTCCCAGAATTTGTAAGATGTTCATGGTGTCCTTAAGGTAACTGGGACATTTTTGGACTGTGGGTTGTAGACATCTATCAATGTACTGTGAGAGTCTACTAGACATGGAACCTGTGCCTGAAACGATCGGCCGTCCAGGTGGTTTGGTGATGCTTTTGTGAATTTTTGGAAGGTAATAAAATATCGTAATTTTGGGGTGGTGAATGTTTAAAAACTCTGGTTCTTGTTTGTTAAGGATGCCTTCCAATTTCCCTTTATCAATTAGTTTATGGTAGTGTACCTTAATATCATTGGTCGGATCTTTGTGTAGTATTATATAGGTTTTAGTGTCGTTGAGCAATCTATTTGACTCATCTATGTAGTCCTCTCGTTCTAGAAGAACAATCCCTCCCCCCTTATCCACTGCTTTAATTACCAGTGAGGTGTCATTTTTAAGCTCTCTCAAGGTTCTCCTTTCTATAAAACTTAGATTTGGTTCACTGAAAGAAAGACAGACAGTGAACCAAACCGGCATTTTTAATCTAACAAGCAGGACATTATCTATACCTCAGCAAAAAATACCTGAAAAAGGTTTAAAGTTCACCCCGACTAGAACTTTGGACAAATTCAATACCTATATATATCTAAATAGATTTCCCCTACACCTGTACCCATACACCTGTACCCATTTACCTGTACCTATACGCCTCTACCAATTACCTGTACCCATATACATCTACATATACACCTTTCCCATTGTACCCATTCACCTCTACCTATACACTGCTACCCATATACCTGTACCCATAATACTTTACCTGTACCCATACATCTCTATCTATACACCTCTACCCATATACCTGAACCCATACACCTCTACCTATACACCTGTACCAATACACCTCTATCTATACACATCTACCCATATACCTGTACCCATACACCTTTCCCCTACACCTGTACCCATGCACTTCTATCTATACACATCTACCCATATATACCTTTCCCCTACACCTGTACCTATACGCATCTACCAATTACCTGTACCCATACACATCTACATATACACCTTTACCTATACACCTTTCCCATTGTACCCATTCACCTATACACTGCTACCCATATACCTGTACCCATACACCTTTACCTATACACCTTTCCCCTACACAAGTACCCATACACCTCTATCTATACATATCTACCAATATACCTTTCACGTACACCTGAACTCATACACCTCTACTCATTTACCTGTACCAATACACATCTACCTATACACTTGTACCAACAAACCTCTACCCATATACCTGTACCCATACACTTTTCCCCTACACCTGTGCCCATACATCTCTACCTATACTCCTCTACCCATTTACCTGTACCCATATACATCTACCTATACACCTGTACAAATACACCTGTACCCATACACCGTTCCCCTACACCTGTACTCATACACCTGTACCCATACACCTCTATCTATACACCTCTACCTATATATCTGTACACATACACCTGTAGTATTATTATTATTATTATTATTATGTTGTTATTTATATAGCACCAACAAGTGCTGCAGCGCTTTACAGTGGGTGGACGAACAAACATGTAGTTGTAACCAGACAAGTTGGACACACAGGAACAGAGGGGTTGAAAGCCCTGCTCAATGAGCTTACATGCTAGAGGGAGTGGGGTAAAGTGACACAAAAGGTAAGGATAGTATTAGACTAATGACAGTTGCAAGAGAGGAATCAGTCGGGAGCTATTAACAGTTTAATTGATACGCTTTTATGAAGAAGTGGGTTTTTAATGATTTTTTGAAGGAGTGGAGACTGGGTGAGCATCTAACGGAGGAGGGAAGTGAGTTCCACAGGAACGGTGCGGCCCTCGAGAAGTCTTGAAAGCGAGCATCAGAGGTGGAAGTACGGACAGAAGATAGATGTAAGTCTTCAGCAATACTTGTATATTAGGGAGGATAGATAGGTGGGAGCAGCATTATGTAGAGATTTGAAAGCAATAACCAGAATTTTAAATTGAGCTCTATATCTCATAGGAAGCCAATGTAGGGACTGACAGAAGGGTGAGGTGCGGGCGGACAGGAAGATGAGCCTCGCCGCTGCATTCATTATGAACTGTAACGGCGCAAGTTGGGAGCACGTAAATCCACTGCGAAGCGGATTACAGCAGTCAAGGCGAGAAAGGACAGTGGAATGGACCAGCACCTTAGTCGCATCTGGCATTAAGTAGGGTCGGATGCTTGCAATGTTTTTGAGATGGAAGCGGCAGAATTTGGCGATAGACTAAATATGAAGCGTGAAGGAGAGGTCGGAGTAACAGAAAACACCTGGCAGCGAGCCTGCGTGGTGGAGCTGATGGTAGCACCGTTGACTTGGAGGGAGACAGACACTTGAGTAGAAACACTTGAGGGAGGAAAGACCAGTTTTGGTCAAGTTAAGTTTAAGGAAGTGGGCAGCCATCCAGTTAGAAATAGCAGAGAGGCAGTCAGAGACCACGAGAGGACAGATAGATTTGCGTGTCATCCGCAAAGAAATGATATTGGAAGCCAAACGAGCTAATGAGTTTACCAAGGGAGGCAGTATAGATGGAGAACAGTAGGGGACCAAGGACTGAACCTTGGGGGACACCAATAGAGAGGAGTTGGGGAGAAGAAGCTGAGCCAGAGAAAGAAACACTGTAAGAGCGCTGGGAGAGGTAGGAGGAGCACCAGCAGAGAGCAATATCTTGTAGACCGATATTGCGGAGGATGAGAAGAAGCTGTTGATGATCAACACTGTCAAAAGCCGCAGAAAGGTCAAGGAGAATTAGGATAGAGTAGTCACCACGAGATTTTGCAGCGAGTAGAACATTGGATACTTTGGTCACAGCTGTTTAAACAGAGTGACGCGCGCGAATCCAGACTGAAGCGGGACTAGCAGAGAGTTGGACTCGAGGAAGTCTGTCAATCTCACATACACAACTATTTCAAGGATCTTGGACGCAAAAGGCAGTAGCGAGATAGGAAGGTAGTTGGACGGGGAGTTAGGGTCAAGGTTGGGCTTCTTTAGAATTGGGTTTACAGTTGCATTCATACACCTGTACTCATACACTTCTTCTCATATACCAGTACCCATACACCTGTACCCAGCATGGAGCTGTGAAGCCCCAGTTACACAACCAGAGTTGGTGTTTTGCACCTCTGGCAGCAGAGAGGTTAAATTCTGTATGTGCAGACTCCAGGTACCATAACCATTTCAAAACTGTGAAGTGGTGATGGTGCTTGAAATAACCCTTAAAAGCTAGTTTTATTGCACCGTACATTCTAACCCAATTATATAACAGTGTGTGCAACAAACCAGCACCACCAAATAAGATAATTATCTAGCTTTATTGTTGGGGGGATATAAGGCAGTTAATAACCTCTCTGCCTGAGCTTCTTATTTAACATTGTGGGGTATTTTCCAGAATCAGTGAATAACCGTGTTATTTAACCCTGTCGTATCACACTGTGAGATGTTAATCAGAATTAGGGAATACAATGCAATTATAATCTTATATTATATCATACAGAGTCATTGAATAATCTATTATATATTACATTACAGAATGTAGTCATTATTTACATTATGCTAACATATTCTGCAGAGCATTCCAATATAAAAAGTAATCTAGGAATTACTCCCCTTCCTAAATCATGCTGTGGGTTATCAACAAAGTGATGGAAAATCTTCATTATCTAAGGTCCAATTCTGGGATATTAACTCTCAGTTGAGATAAATATTGCTCCTGGACATATATATATAGTAATATTCTACTCTGCTATACTCAGTTGATATTTTGCTCCAGCAGATACAATAGGTAAACTGCATATATTTTAATCCCCTCTAAAGGTTTTCTTATTTCGTACTGTTTCAGCCCAGAATTCAAATTAATTTTAAACCATTTGATTTATACAACGTAGAAACAAATAATAAATCTCAACGTTTGAAGCTGCAAAATATTTTAATTGTAAAATAAAAATGAATTAAAGGGACGCTCTTGCCTGCAGCTCTGGGCAGTTGCCGCCTCTTAAAGGACCACTCTAGGCACCCAGACCACTTCAGCTTAATGAAGTGGTCTGGGTGCCTGGTCCAGCTAGGGTTAACCCATTTTTTTTATAAACATAGCAGTTTCAGAGAAACTGCTATGTTTATGAATGGGTTAAGCCTTCCCCCTAATCCTCTAGTGGCTGTCTCATTGACAGCCACTAGAGGCGCTTGCGTGCTTCTCACTGTAATTTTCACAGTGAGAGCACGCAAGCGTCCATAGGAAAGCATTGTAAATGCTTTCCTATGCGACGGGCTGAATGCGCGCGCAGCTCTTGCCGCGCGTGCGCATTCAGCCCAGGAGGAGGAATGGAGGACGAGAGAAGGAGGAGAGCTCCCCGCCCAGCGCTGGAAAAAGGTAAGTTTTTACCCCTTTCCCCTTTCCAGAGACGGGCGGGAGGGTGTCCCTGAGGGTGGCGGCACCCTCAGGGCACTATAGTGCCAGGAAAACGAGTATGTTTTCCTGGCACTATAGTGGTCCTTTAAGTTTATCTCCACTGAGATAAACAAACCAGGAAGTAACATGACTTGATGTCTGATTGACAGCCAGGGAGGTGTAACAAGGTTTTAAAATAAATACACCTGTTCCTGGAGTTCCAGATTTGTTTGAGATCAACAACATAAAAAAACAAAACACAAAGCTAAGGAGTTGTCAAAACAAGTCTGCGATAAAATTGGAGCTTTGTTAACTCCGGAGCATTGTCAAATCCATTAGTGAAAGCTGGAAAGACTATAACGAGTCTGTTGGTAGAAGGGCCATCCAACAAAACTCTCTGGCAGGGTAAGGCGATCATTAGCCGAGAGATAAGTATACAGGTCATTTGGTAACTCTGAAAGAGACAGAGAGATCTACTCTTTAGATGGCAGAAATGTCCCATGGGCTTAATGGTTGTGTAGTGAAAGGAAAGATGCAAATCACATCACATCACATTTGGAATTTACCAAAAGGCAAAGAAGCAGTAAAGAGGTGTACATCGGGTCTCTGGTCCGACAAGACCCAAATTAACATTTTTGGCCCGGACACAAAACATCAGGTGGGAGATTTATCGAAGTATCATGTTCTAAAATCTAGTGCAACGTACTAAGAGTTATACAATCACTATGGAAACCAATGGAACCAACATACATATTTCATTTGTGAGACCCCCCTTTTTTTGTTTTACTTTTACAAACACTTTGATAAATCTTCCTCGACATGAATCTCATATAAACAACTGCTCATCCTTCGAGAAGGTTATCCCTACGGGGGAGGCTTGGTGCTGGTAACATCACATTATGACGATGCGTTTCATCGGCTGGGAACCTTGCCAGGATTAAGGACAAGATGGATGGAGCCAATTCTGGAGGAAAACCTGTTATGTGATAATGACCCTAAACACACAGCCACAGTTCCACTGGAGGGGTTTAAAGCAAAATCTGAAAGTTCCCAGTAAAAGCCCAGACCCCCATATGATTGAGAATCTGTGGGAAGACAGAAAACTGCTGTTCACCAACCATCCCGTCCAACCTGACAGACAGAGAGCAATTTTACCAAGAAAAATGGTCAAACGCTGCCAGGATCCAGATGTGCGAAGCTGGGGCAGACTTACCACAAAAGACTCACATCTGTAACTGGAGCCAAAAGTAGCTCCACTAAGCATGGACTCCGGGGGGTGAATACTAATGAAATCAACCACTGTCTGCTTGTTCCTTTTAAATAACTTTTTTGTGTCACATTAAAAATATCTGGCACCTTCAAAGTGTTAGTGATAAAGTGTGAAACAAACATTGCGTTAAAACCCATTTTAACTCCGGATTGTAAATGTAAAAGCGGGTGAATACTTCTGAAAGGTGCTCTGTACCCACCGGTTATTCTTTTTCTGCTCTCCTGCAAGGCTCCTTCCGGCATCGTGATTTAATGAGGTATCGCCGCCCTGTGGGACAGAAAAAGAAAGAGTTCTTTTACCTTTCATAGAGGCCTGAGAACTTTATACAGTGTAGCATAATAATAATTAATATTAGAAATTATAAATCGCCAATGTATTCCAAAGCGCTGTAGCATGTTGTCAGGGAGAAAACCTCAATGAATAGACAGTTTTACTGTCAGACATTCCCGAGGATTGTCAGCCGGTAATAGATTAGAGGGTTTGAGACAATAATTGGTGAAACTCTTTTTGCTTTTCGCAAGGAGAGAATGTAATTGTTTGATACATCCCTCCTGGGAATTCGCCCACTCAGACCCAAAACCTCCATGCTCACATTCTGCGCCTGATGACATCATTTGCTTCTATACTGATTCACTCCCAGAGAAAGACTTTTTACGCGTCTCACCGCAGAGTATTATATGATTGTGGTCCCAGGAAATATCTCCAAACATCTAAAATATTTTCTGGCTCTCTAACCGACGTAAACCCAGCCAGACTTTACAGGCCTAGCCACATGTTACACAACAGGACAACGAAAACCCCAAGCTGTTTTTTTTCTTTGTTGTTTTTTGGTTTTTTGCTGTTGTTGTTTTGACCCTTTGCTTAATATTGTATTGTTTTCTCTTGTGCGAAGATGTGGCCCTTTTTGGCACAGTAAGGCAGGGTTAATGGTGGGGGGATGGAGGGGTAATGTAGGGGGGGCTGTGCACAGGAATGCTGCCGACATGACATAGTGACCCGGCAGCTGTGAGAGACAGGGGGAAATACCAGCCCTACCCAGGCGGCAGCAGGCGAGGAGTTAATAGGAACATTTTTGCAGAACATAGAATGGAATATATGGAGCCAAAGGGTTAAATTGTTCTTTCCCTTAACATCTGGACAAAGTGAGAGCCTGAAACCCAAGCATTTCCTCACTATTTTTCATTTGTCTTCTGTAAACATTTCAGTGGGTCCTCTGTCCCTTCCTATCCTCCCATCTAGACCCTGTCATACCCCCATCAGCTCTCCCTCTGTCACTAAGGCCTTCAACCTCTTCTCCTCTGTACTTCCTGCCCCAGGGGTAAATCTCACCCTGCGCTCATTACCCTTTGTACCTCCTGCCACAGAGGTAAATCTCTCTCAGAATCTATTGCCTTCTGTAATTCCTGCCCCAGAGGTAAGTCTCACCCTTAGCCCATTACCCTCTGTACCTCTTGACCAGGGTTAAATCTCACCCTTAGCCCATTACCCTCTGTACCTCCTGACCAGGGGTAAATCTCACCCTGAGCCCATTACCCTCTGTACTTCCTGCCTCAGGGGTAAATCTCACCCTGAGCCCATTACCCTCTGTACTTCCTGCCCCAGGGGTAAATCTCACCCTGAGCCCATTACCCTCTGTACTTCCTGCCCCAGGGGTAAATCTCACCCTGAGCCCATTACCCACTGTACTTCCTGTCATAGGGGTAAATCTCAACCTGAGCCCATTTCCCTCTGTGCTTCCTGACCCAGGGGTAAATCTCACCCCGAGCCCATTACCCTCTGTACTTCCTGCCCCAGGGGTAAATCTCACACTGAGCCCATTACCCTCTGTACTTCCTGCTCCAGGGGTAAATCTCACCCTCAGCCCATTTCCCTCTGTACCTCCTGCTCCACGGGTAAATCTCACCCTGAGCCCATTACCCTCTGTACTTCCTGCCCCAGGGGTAAATCTCACACTCAGCCCATTTCCCTCTGTACTTTCTGCTCCAGGGGTAAATCTCACTCTGAGCCCACTACCCTCTGTACTTCCTGCCCCAGGGGTAAATCTCACCCTGAGCCCATTACCCTCTGTACTTCCTGCCCCAGGAGTAAATCTCACCCTGAGCCCATTACCCTCTGTACTTCCTGCCCCAGGGGTAAATCTCACCCTGAGCCCATTACCCTCTGTACTTCCTGCCCCAGGGGTAAATCTCACCCTGAGCCCATTACCCTCTGTACTTCCTGCCGTAGGGGTAAATCTCTCTCAGAATCTATTGCCTTCTGTAATTCCTGCTCCAGGGGTAAATCTCACCCTGAGCCCATTACCCTCTGTACCTCCTGCCCCAGTGGTAAATCTCACCCTGAGCCCATTACCCTCTGTACTTCCTGCTCCAGGGGTAAATCTCACCCTGAGCCCATTACCCTCTGTACCTCCTGCCCCAGGGGTAAATCTCACCCTGAGCCCATTACCCTCTGTACTTCCTGCCCCAGGGGTAAATCTCACCCTGAGCCCATTACCCTCTGTACTTCCTGCCCCTGGGGTAAATCTCTCCCTGAGTCTATTACCCTCTGTACTTCCTGCCCCAGGGGTAAATCTCACCCTGAGCCCATTACCCTCTCTACTTCCTGCCCCAGGGGTAAATCTCACCCTGAGCCCATTACCCTCTGTACTTCCTGCCCCAGGGGTAAATCTCACCCTGAGTCTATTACCCTTTGTACTCCCTGTCCTGGGGTAAATCTCACCCTGAGCCCATTACCCTCTGTACTTCCTGCCCCAGGGGTAAATCTCACCCTGAGCCCATTACCCTCTGTACTTCCTGCCCCTGGGGTAAATCTCTCCCTGAGTCTATTACCCTTTGTACTCCCTGTCCTGGGGTAAATCTCTCCCTGAGTCTATTACCCTTTGTACTCCCTGTCCTAGGGTAAATCTCTGCCTGAGTCTATTACCCTCTGTACCTCAATGAGAGGTTTTTGCAAGGCAGGTGCTCTGGGCAATTGGTGGCTCTTGAGTTTATCTCCACTGAGCTAAACAGAGGTGTAAGAAACTTGATTTATAAAAGTGTCAATTTCTCTTGAAGTCTGAACATTTGTCAAATGAAAAAAGAGGACACATTCTTCACACAGAGAGCATTACAGCAAGTGCTTACTGGGTCTGCAGTGTCCCTTTAATGTGCTCAAACAGAAAACCTTTATTTTATTGTTGCAATAAGTAATATCCGGGTATTTATACAGTATATCGTGCAGTGAGTAATATCCGGGTATTTATACAGTATATCGTGCAGTGAGTAATATCCGGGTATTTATACAGTATATCGTGCAGTGAGTAATATCCGGGTATTTCTACAGTATATCGTGCAGTGAGTAATATCCGGGTATTTATACAGTATATCGTGCAGTGAGTAATATCCGGGTATTTATACAGTATATCGTGCAGTGAGTAATATCCGGGTATTTATACAGTATATCGTGCAGTGAGTAATATCCGGGTATTTATACAGTATATCGTGCAGTGAGTAATATCCGGGTATTTATACAGTGTATCGTGCAGTGAGTAATATCCGGGTATTTATACAGTATATCGTGCAGTGAGTAATATCCGGGTATTTATACAGTATATCGTGCAGTGAGTAATATCCGGGTATTTATACAGTATATCGTGCAGTGAGTAATATCTTGGTATTTATACAGTATATCGTGCAGCGAGTAATATCCGGGAATTTATACATTATATTGTGCAGTGAGTAATATCCGGGTATTTATACCCGGCTATTTATACATTATATCGTGCAGTGAGTAATATCCGGGTATTTATACATTATATCGTGCAGTGAGTAATATCCGGGTATTTATACAGTATATCGTGCAGTGAGTAATATCCGGGTATTTATACAGTATATCGTGCAGTGAGTAATATCTTGGTATTTATACAGTATATCGTGCAGCGAGTAATATCCGGGAATTTATACATTATATTGTGCAGTGAGTAATATCCGGGTATTTATACCCGGCTATTTATACATTATATTGTGCAGTGAGTAATATCCGGGTATTTATACATTATATTGTGCAGTGAGTAATATCCGGGTATTTATACAGTATATCGTGCAGTGAGTAATATCCGGGTATTCATACAGTATATCGTGCAGTGAGTAATATCCTGGTATTTATACAGTATATCGTGCAGTGAGTAATATCCGGGTATTTATACTGTATATCGTGCAGTGAGTAATATCCGGGTATTTATACATTATATCGAGCAGTGAGTTATATCCGGGTATTTATACAGTATATCGTGCAGTGAGTAATATCCGGGTATTTATACAGTATATCGTGCAGTGAGTAATATCTGGTTATTTATACATTATATCGTGCAGTGAGTAATATCTGGGTATTTATACAGTATATCGTGCAGTGAGTAATATCCAGGTATTTATACATTATATCGTGCAGTGAGTAATATCCAGGTATTTATACATTATATCGTGCAGTGAGTAATATCCAGGTATTTATACATTATATCGTGCAGTGAGTAATATCAGGGTATTTATACATTATATCGTGCAGTGATTAATATCTGGGTATTTATACAGTATATCGTGCAGTGTGTAATATCTGGGTATATATACAGCATATTGTGCAGTGAGTAATATCCAGGTATTTATATAGTATATTGTGCAGTGGGTAATATCTGGGTATTTATACATTATATCAGGCAGTAAGTAATAACTGGGTATTTATACAGTATATTATGCAGTGAGTAATGACGGGTATTTATACATTATATCGTGCAGTGAGTAATATCAGGGTATTTATACATTATATTATACAGTGAGTAATAACTGAGTATTTATACAGTATATTATGCAGTGAGTAATAACTGAGTATTTATACAGTATATTATGCAGTGAGTAATAACTGAGTATTTTTTACAGTATATTATGCAGCGAGTAATAACTGGTTATTTATACAGTATATCGTGCAGTGAGTAATATCTGGGTATTTATACACATTATTATACATTAAAACATAATGAAACAGCATCACGCATTAACTTACAAATTTTGTATCCAACACAAAACACACACAAACACAGACGCACACAGCTTGTACTCTCTGACCCTCCCAAATATGGGAACAATCAGCTTCCAAAAAAATCTGACATGTTTCCAAAAATACTTTCAAGACCAGTTTTGAAAAGAAAAAAGAATATTTGTGGGTGACCTCGGCACGGTAGCCATCAATTACAATGCGTCTTTACACGCGCACC